GCCGGCGCAGCCGCTCCCGCTCTCGCTCCCGCAAGAACATCCGCAGCGAGATCAAGGCCCTCGAGGCCGAGCTGCACGCCCGCAAACACGGCCGCGCTCACTCCCACGGCCGCGAGCTCGTCCGCGCGGAGCAGATGCCCGACGGAGCCGTCGTGCTCTTCGAGGAGAAGGTCGAGAAGGTGGAGGAGCCGCGACGCGGGGTGCGGATTGAGAAGGACAAGAAAGGTAGGATGGCCATCAGCGTACCAAAGTACTACTAAGGTGCGCGTCATCTGTTGTACACCGGCGTCTTGTCGCAAGAATGTAGACTGACAATGGTCTCTTCAACAGGTCCTCCCCCGAAGCTCATGCGCGCCATGCTGGCGACCCTCACTTAAGGGCGCCACTCATCGCCTCGCTGCTTCGCGGCCTACGCAAGTTGTATGAATATCACAAGACGAGCTACAGACCTCATCTATGAAGAGACGGACCATTTTTGTTGCATTTATTTATACCGGAATCTGGAATCTGGCATGGCGATATCATACTACTATTATTACCCTATAGAAAAAAAGGACAATGGGTTTGGAATTTTGGACAGGATACATGTTTACAAGTATGGAACTTTTGGTGGCGGACGACGCCCGGGCGGTTGCGATTGAGGGAAGGCCTGGCGGGCTTTTTTCGCCTTGTCTGGGTGAATGAAGACCTCTTTCTTACACGTCTCATAACGAATTTACGATGTTAAACTTCACTTCTTACATAAAGAGACATTGATTGTGAGCGATCTTATTGAGACTGAACCTTGAGTGAGATTTCACCTGAATTGCGGCACATCTCAGGTGAGATTCGATCTCACGTGAGACACAGCGTACCTATCTTGGCGAACCTACAGTACATGGCGTGCGGAGATGTAGCCAATCAGTGCAGATGGACTGGAGGCATAAGGTGGTGTTGTTCAGTCGCACCTGGTGGGATAGATATTTGACCTCAAAGACCTTCTGTATCATGTATTTGCGTCGCTACTGTATCTCATTTCCTTTCTAGTTTCTCCATGTGTCTTGGTACAACTCTGGCAATACAATTTCTCTAATAGAAATAATAGAGTCCGAAGCTCCATCATCTCTCCCATGTTTTCCTTCCGAGGAACCTGATTCGTATCGCACCCGGAGCCGTCAATCGACAGAGCCGAGGTGCGAACTCATGCTGACAGTTTAGCACTAATTTATTGTTAGCAGTTTCATGGTGAGAAGTCTGGGTGGGAGGTCTTACGCAAGCACCGAACTGGATGTCAAACGTCAGCAAATGGTCAAAATCATTGGGATGTAGGAAGCTTCGCAGTCTGAACTTACGCCGTGAGCGTCACCTCCACCCTTGTTCTTCAGCACATTTCCACTGCTGTCTGTAACCGTGCAGCTTCCTGTCACGGTGGTGCATTGGCGGTGGATGGGGAAGCCGGCGGCGAGACCTGGGTCCTCGGTGATCCAGTCGGGGTAGGTACACTGTGACTTTGATCAGTAATCTAGTTTCTTCCGGTCCGGGTTGGGCTTGGGGGTGCAAGGCGTACGCAGTAGACATTTTGACCCTAGACACTTAAGTTAGCGCGACGTTGTGGAAGCTTTGGAATGAGGGGAACTTACGTTTCCGCAGTCGTTGAGTTGAGGGACCTGGTCAGTGCCGGAGTTGCAGTACATGTTTGGGTTATTCCATTGGCCGCGGACGACGGCCAATGCGCCCAGGTATACGACGAATGAGATTGCACGAATGGACATCTTGTGTTGAAGGTGTTGTGTTGAATAAGAAAGGTCAGGAGGAAGAGTAGCGCAACCCGAATGGCTAGACAGCTCCAGATCTTATATCGAGAGCTAGTTTATAAATATAGCAACCGCAGTTAGTTATAAGCACATCACAATGCTATTTCTATATTTTACTTTCTTGGTCAATCACCTAGACTTTGTTATAGTTAGGCACAGCACAGCCCTGATTCATGTCGTGGCAGGGTTTGCCCACCACGCGGCGCGCCCATAGCTTCTGTAAAAATCACTTGAAGAAATATTCGCCGAAGATGTATGCGCACTTTGTTACGAGGCAAAACACAAATAGTTGCTCTCAGCGTCAGTTGACTCAGAGATTGGCAGGAACATGATGAACAAACTGCGGAATTTAGGCTCTGAACATACGATGGAATAGTAGCCTGTCACCTGAGTACAGACCAACCCAGTGGCGCATGCGTCTCCCGGGGTTGATCAAGAAGCAAGGGTTGTCAGACTGGTTGCTGAAAGAGCTCACTTGATGTCACAAGATCCAAAACCTCAAAGATGAAGACCGCAACATGATCAAAACCTCAAGGACAACCATCTCCCTCGTCACCACCCGGCAGCAAAGCCAAGCGCCCAAAACGGAGACCTCCCCTCCGCGCACGTGACGTCCAATTTCCGTCCCGTCTCATCCCAGTCCACCCTCACTCTATTTTGCTTCATCGCTCCACATTCACTACTCTACCCCACACACGCTGTGCGGTTCAATCGGCAACTGTTCGGACGACGGGGAGGGAGAACGATGCGATGAACCCCCCTTGACAGAAAGCTTCTCGCAAGTTGAGACAATCATTGCCGTGTTTTTCAAAGGACTGCTTAACTCCGCGAGGTTGGAATGTAGAATGCAGCTCGCAGACGCAGGGCGCCGCCATACCCACCCTGCCAGAAAAAAGAAACCCCCTTCGGAGCGCAATGCCGGCGCCTTTCCCAACGGAGCCCGTCCGAGCACTCCGGAGCCCACCGTACCCCCGATCGCTTGCTTCCGTGTAAATTGAGGGGGCCGCCATCTGGGGCGACGTGAGATGTAGATTAAACATTTCCCCCTTGGTGATATTCTTTTTATCGTTTATTAATCCCCCAGGTTTCCCGTCGATCTTCCTGAGCCTATCGCCCATCCCACCGGCTTCTTTCGTTTTTTCGTATCGATTTCGTATCGAACGCCTTTCGCTCTTATTTAAAAATACATTCGTTTTTTGCGATATCGTAATTCATTGTGCTGGGTTCACGATGAAGTCTCAAATCTTGGCTACGGGTCTGCTCGCCGCGGGCGTGAGCGCCGCCGCGACGGAGAAGAGGGCTTGCAGCGCCACGGCAGAGTGGCCTGGCTTCGCCGGCATCAAGCACGCCTTCGTCTTGTAAGTCGGCCCCCATCTCTTACTCGCAACATCACTTAGATATCCTTGTCCGGAATACTGACCTCAGAAACCACAGCGGCGACTCCTACTCCCAAACAGGCTTCAACACCTCCCTCGCCGCGCCCTCCGCCGCCAACCCGCTCGGCAACCCGTCCTACCCGGGCTGGACCTCGTGCAACGGGCCCAACTGGGTCGACTACCTCACCGTCAAGCACAACGCCTCGCTGCTGTACACGTACAACCTCGCCTATGGCGGCGCGACCGTCGACGCAGCGCTGGTCAAGCCGTACGCCGACACGGTCCTCACGCTCAAGGACCAGGTGTCCGGGCTCTTCAACGCGTCGTACGCCCCGCGCACGGCGCCCGCGTGGACTGGCGCAGACACCATCTTCGCTTTCTGGATCGGCGTGAACGACGTCGGTAACTCGTACTGGAACGGCGCCGACTCGACGGGCCCGCTGAACGACAAGATTGTAGGCGTGTATGAGGGCTTGGCCAAGGAGATCTGGGCGGCGGGCGGGCGGAACTTTGTGTGGTTGAGCGTGCCGCCTGTGGATCGCACGCCGATGCTGACTGCGGAGAGCGCGGACGCGCAGAAGCTTTGCAAGGAGGACGTGGCGGATTTCAACGGCAAGATTGCCGCGATGGCGAAGAACGCGACGGCGTGGGAGGGCGTGAATGCGTGGGTTGTGGATGCGAACGGGGTGTTTACGGGGGCGATTGAGGAGCCCGGGAAGTATGCGAGTACGGCGGGGTTGAAGAACACGACGGCGTATTGCGAGGCGTATGAGAAGTAAGTTCTTTTGATTCTCGAGATGAAGGATGAAGACTGGATGCTGACTTGAGATACAGTGGTACTGATGCGCAGGATACGCTCATTGAGAGCTGTGGGGTGCCTGCGAATGAGTACTTTTGGCTGAACACGCTGCACCCTACTTATCCTATTCATGATGCGGTTGCGGAGACTGTTGCGGATGCGCTGGTTGCGGGACCGAACGTTTGCTGAGGTTAAAAGAAGGAAAGATTGAGATTCTTGTAGGTACTTTGACAGATGTGTACATATGGACAAAGAGAAATTCAGTGCTTGTCATTGGACTATGCGATGTAACGAAAATAAGCTTGGTCGAAAGCGATCTCATGTCGACTGGGACTCGGCCCGAGAGGTGAACATGCAGCCCGCCATTGTGGCACCCGACATCACTCTTTATCAAAAGGAGTTCGAAAACGGCCGTACGGCCGGTATGAGGGGCCTCATTCTTCGGCCTACAATGCCAAATATGGCAGACATTAGGTGGACCACGCTTCAAGAGTGATCACCAACACAGGCGAGGGACCTGGTCATGCGCACGCGGGGCGCAGTAAGAAGCTGAACTTGGCGTAGGACGACTTGAACTTGAAAAGCAGTGAATTGGTTCGACTAGGGGCTTTATGGGTCCTTCGCCAGCTGCTACACTCTGTTGGTGGTTGATAACTTGTTGGGACCGGGGTTTGGATGGCACGATGGAAGCGCGAACCCATGAGGCCAGAAAATAAGACCCAGCCAACGAGTCAAAGACACCCCCGGTGACACTCATGATAGCCCGAAAGGTCTGTAGCCCCAGCCATATCCTTGCATCAATATGCAAGTGCATGGTCCGTTGGCAGTGCGGTCCTTCTTTGTCCATGTCGTGTTGTCTTGCCCCAGGCCACCAGCTTGGCCGCCGCCGGAGTACATACGGAGGCCAACCCCCGTTGGAAGCCCCCCGACCCCATACTTGTCTGTTTGGCACCTTTACCCTCTCTCTCCTGGAGCTGTTGGCGCTTGTGCTCGAACCCGAGGGGAAAAGCCCCCAACTCGCTTCTTGTCGCGATGAGGGCCACCGCGGTTATTTACGTCCTCGTCGCCTGGGCGGTTCGCTGCGCCTTGACACAGGAGCTGGAAGACATTCCGTACTGCTCCCGGATATGCTTCACAGTTGGAAATTCTGAGTGGTGCAGCCTCGGAAAGACGTCCAACTGCGTTTGTAGACAAAGCATCGCCAGCTACTACCGCGGAAAGTTCAAGAGCTGTATAGAGAGTAGCTGCCCAGGAGACGTAACGTTCAAAGGTAGCTAGCAACCCCGATTAACCCCCTCTAGCCATTGTGAGATTGTGATTTGTGGTGCTGACAAGTCCTTGCAGAGGCCTATGCCGCCTTTGCAGCGTACTGTGTCGCAAATGACTGGATAGATGCCGCCTCAACAGCATTGGGCGAAGCAACAACGGTCACCATCGGACCAATCGTCATAGTCACGCCGACGACTACAGTAACAGGGTCTGGTGGCTCTGCGGCGACTATCACGTCGGAGATCACTGCAACAACAGGAGGATCTGGGTCATTTACGACAGGATCAGCAACAACTGCAAACCCCTCTACTGAACCGACGGCGGAAACGGCACCTACGACCGACGGGAGCGACAACAACAATAACTCTTCTGATGCATTGTCAACAGGTGCAAAGGCAGGTATCGGAATAGGAGCTGCTCTTGCAGTGGCTTTAGTGGCTGTTATCCTGTTTATTTGGCGAAGGAAACGGAAGGCTCTATCAACCGAAAAAGATGAGGAATCGTCGGTCCCAGAGCTCGATAATGGAGACGTCTCTAACAGACATGAATTGGACTCGAGCACCATAACTTCTGGGTTAGACAAGACGCACTCTGTGGCATTCTCAAACCAACAAGGCATGGCTGAGTTGGACGCAACCTCTGCGTTGTACAAAGGACAGACGAGGCTTGAGGAAGGCGAAGCCACGCCTCCAGTGGAACAAGGCGCGGTCTCAGGCGAGGCTGGATCCATGATCTCGCATCCTACACCGTCACTGCCACCAGCAACAAATATAGCACAGCCTATGATTGGAGATTATATCAACTCCAATTCGTCGGAACCGTCACTTCCAAGCACCGCGGAGTTGGAGCACCTGCTTCATGAGGAGCAGCTGTTGCGAGAGAGGAGGCGGACTTTGGAGCAACTAAAACAGATACAACAGGACGAGCTTGCCTTGGGAGAGCGTATAAGGTTGTTGAGACAGAGGCATAGCAGCCAATCGGCAGAGGGTGGGGGATAATACCGTCGTCAGGAGGTATGTACTCGCGCGGTGGTTCACCTCAACATCATTTTGAGAGTAAAGGCCTTCTGAGATTCGTAATCTGAAGGCACTAATGATTGCGTATGGCATCAACGCCTTGGAAAGTCCATGCCGGGTAGTGGAGACAACTTGTGAGGGCGAGGCAGTCATTTCGAAGATGGTTATTGATATTAGTCTGACGACGTGGACACGGTGATGATAATGGTCAGAGGACGTTGAAACTACTCATACATAATTGATATCAAAATATTGCATTCGTACTGCTATAAATAATATCACCAAGGAACGTTTAGTCAATTATATACCACTAAGGTCTTTCCTTGCCTCGTTTGGCAAGTCGCCGAAGACATTTCCGGAAGGGACGTTTCCGCCACTCCAAAGAGTCCCAGAAGCAGTCTTTGGGCTCAATAGCACACTAAAGAAGTTCACCTTGTCATTTGCACGTCCAACACATACTCAAATCACATTACGAGACTGGGCAGAGCAGTCCGGTTGGTGGTGGACATCTCGTTGGGACCGGGGTTTGAATGGCCCGATGGGCAGGCGGACTCCATGAGACCTGAAAATAGACCTGGCCAACGGACCAAACAAAAGACCAACCACATTCTCGTCATTGCCTGAGAGTCTCATAGGTCTAATGAATCCTTGTATTCTCATGGAAAAATGCATGTTCCGTTGGTTGCACCGCTAGTTCCACTCGGATTTCTTGCCCCCAGGCAGCAGGCCACAACTTCGCTCCCGCCAGGATACATACCTAGCACCGCGCCAGTTGGACTCACTCCCTTTGTACCTCCTGTCTCTTGTTTCTTTCGCCCCCTAGCCTATGCAAATGCTCATTGTTGGCGCATCTGCTTGCAGCAACTTGATGCTTGCGCTACACGCTCAGCTGGATTAGACCTCTTGAGTCTCATCCCTCCGCCCCCAATGAAGGCCTTCCTTTTCACCGCCGCGCTAGCCATACGCTTTGCCAGCGCGGTCAATGGAACGACATGGCGGACCGAAATGCCATACTGCGCGCAATACTGCTTCGTGACTGGCGGCGATTCCTTGACAAACTGTCAACTGGGACTTGATGACGAGTGCATATGCACTGAAAGTACGGATGACGTCCTGCGTGAGGTTATGAAGACATGCGTTGAAATCAAGTGCAACCGATTCAACCGAAAGTTTGCAGGTCAGTTGCCATCCACATGACTGGCTCTTCGAGTTAAGATCACTGCATTTCGTTGGTCAACTACCTATCCATGGATGGATGATTGAGCTCACAAGCCCAGGGGACATTTGGCCTATTTTTGCCGAATTTTGCGTCACAGAAGGCTATCTCGACTCTTCCGAAACAGCGCTGCCTAGTAGTATGACAGCTACAGCCGATCCGTCAACTGTTACATCGGCGATAATGACAAACACTCCATCAACTACAACATCTGCAATAGACATGACGGAATCGACAGCCCCCACCGCAGAATCCGATTCTTCAAGCGCCAATGATGATGACGCCTCCTCTTCGAGTAGGCTTTCTCCAGCTGCGAAGGCAGGCATTGCAATCGGGGCTACTCTGCCAATAATAGTGGGCGCCGTATTACTCGCTCTATGGCGTAAGAGAAGGAAAGGAATATTGTCTGACAAAGATGGGGAGACCGCTATGCCAGAGCTTGCAAGCGGCGACAACGCCAACAGGCATGAGCTGGGCCCTGAAGCAAAGCTGTTCGGGGCGGGTAGCAAAGCGGCAGCAGAGCTTGAGAGTGGACATGTCATGGCGGAGCTGGACGGAACCTCATGCCTTGTATACGGCCCGGAAACGAATGGTACGGGGGACGAAACTAGAACAACGGCTGAGCTAGATGGCAAGTCACCAGGGCCAGAATCTTCCACCCGTTCACAAGGATCACCTGCGGACCCTGGAGCGAATGCTGCACGAGCACCTGCACGAAAACATTGCGAATCCAATAGTTCGACCTCGCTATCACCAAATGCTGGCGAGGTTGAACAACTGCCTTGTGAGGGCAGAGGATTGGGGGAGGGGGAAAGAGCTGAGGAGGAGTTGCAACATAAACCGGAGGATGAAGTTGCGTTGAGAAGTCTAATAAGGACCTTAAAGCAGAGACAGAGTAGCCAGTCGTCGGGTGTTGGGGAGCGATAATTGTGTGGTGCCTTCGAAATCTTCGCGAGCTCACTAGTGCGCTGTGATTCTTGGTAATTTCTTGTTTCGGGGATTCTTTCAAGTTCCCCATGAGAACTTTTGCGGCTTAATCGCACTGAATGCAGGAGCTAGTTGAAGTGATGTATTTTCTCTCTCATTTTCGGTATGAGTGTTAGCGACACAACCGTGTTGTGTGTCATGTTCGACTCTAAGGAGAAGTCCAACTGCCCTCTTGAATTGAAAAGGGCAGCCAGATGCAGCGGTGAGTTCCAGTGCAGTTGTCAAGAAACCCGAGAAAAGCTGAAAGAGCCTGTGGAACAATTCGAATATAAACGTAGATGATTGTTCAAAGATCTTAGAAAGGCATTAAAAGGTCTGAGGAGAAATCCAAACGCTGGGTTGCGAGCTATTGGAGAGTCTCAGCATCCAATGTAATCATGTCCAAGTACGCAGTCTTTCTATTCTCACTTCAAGCTTGTCCCTACTGGATCAACTCAATGAATCTGTGGGGTTTTCCGGACCAGACTGTTAGCATCCAAAGAAGCCTGAGAGGGGATGCACACTTGGTTGGACTGGGTTGCTAAACAGGTCTGCATTGCAACTCTGATAACTATGAAATGGCCCCGTCATCCATACCCCAAGCAGATTACGCCTTTAACCTCTTGTAAAACGAAATCGATCGCTTCATCTCCCTGCCTACACTCTGCCAATACCGCTTCCAGTTATTTCCTTTTGGGTCCATCCGTTTGCGACCCTTGTTCGTATTTTCCACTGCGCCAAACGATTGTTGCCATTTGGGATCGCGAGTTTTAACAGGAGTTCTACCTGCGATTTCCCGAATGAAGGCCAAAATAGCATCCTATCTACTGGTGGAAAAACATCGGAAATCAAGTAGTAGTGACGGAACATGAACGCTGACTTCACCGCTCTTGAGCCGGCCACAGTCCTCCGCCAACTCGGCTTACGCAGCACGAAACCGAATAATCTGCGGCACGTCACACGATGACTGCTCTGACACCCTTGCTGTTCCATACCGGAAATGGGTTGAAGAAGTCGTGGTCATATGCCACGTCGGCCTCGGTGGTCTCATGCAGCTTCATACGCGGGAACACGCGGACAATCAACAGTGCGAGCAAGATATAGAGCTCGCAATAAGCTAGGCTGGAGGGAGGTTCGTCACTCCGAGCAAAACGACCGTGGGACGCTTGTGAGACTTACTTTATCCCGAGACAGCCCCGGCTTCCCTTGGAGAATGCCAAGAGGGCCCGGTCTAGTTCTTTCCGATGTCGACCCTTCTCGTCTAACCATCGCTCGGGCACAAAGGCGTGCGAGTCCGGGTACACGCTTTCGTCATGATGCGCGATGACAGCCGACATGCCAATAGCGTACCCCCTCGGTATCACATACTCGACTTCGGTCAGTGACCTACTTCCTTGCGGGGTCCACTCGCCCCGATATACCAAGTCTTCCCCGGTCGGAACGCGGGCAGTCCGGGTAGCAAGGCCGTAAGACAGCCGAAGACCCTCGTGAATTACGGCGCCCAGGTAGGGGAGCTTCTCCAGTGCCGCCCAAGACGGCAACTGCCCGGAATCGTCGACGACCTGGCTCACCTCGGCCGTGGCCTTGTCCAGTAGCTCGTCTTTCGTGAGAAGATGGTATGTGATGACCGCCAGGGCCCAGCTGACAGTCTCAGTGCCGGCGGCGAACAGCGAGAAGCCCTCTTCCGTCATGCGCTGGAGGGCCTTCTCGGAGGGCGGCAGGTCTGATCTCAGAAGGGCGCCGAAGACGGACGTGCCGTCGTCGATGCCCTTGTTGACGTCGGCTTGGGCTTTTCTAACGTTGTTGGGCATGTCAACCTGACGGGGCATGGTTTTGTCAGCCGCTGGTCTGTCGTATCCGACAAGGACGAGCCTTGTTCTTCATTTTACTTTGTTGACTCACTATGAGCGCGTTGAACAGTGTCTCCATGTCCTCGGAAAGCTTTCTGGTGAACCTATGGCCGGCTGTTATAGGCGATGTGACGCAAACGACGACAGAAGGGCACGAATTTGAGCCGACTTACATGGCCATTGCGACGCCTGCATGTTTGAGAAGCGGAATGAAGCGGAACCAGTACACAAGTCGCAGCTGTGCGTACAGCGGTTCCCGGAAATTGGGCTCCCAGCCGTCCTGGTCTATGAGGCCCATGTTCTTGCCGAGGCAGTAACCGGAAATGACGTCTGTGGTGAACAGGCTGTACGCAGTGGTGACATCGAAGGGGCTTCGTTTGCCCACGTCCAGGATCTTGTTGCAGAGCCGCTCTGCGAGGTCGCGAACGGTGGGCTCCAGCCGAGACACCTGGGCGCGGGAGAAGAACTTGGACACGGCGCCCCGTCGCATACGGTGGACGTCGTGGTCGGCGGTCGAGAAGGTTGCCTGTTCGGCGCTGGAGGTCGAGGGAAATGACAGTCAGGACAAGGGAACACGGATCAGCGGGATCACGCAAGGGTTGCCTACACTCCGCTGCCCCTGACCTGGTGTAGGGGCTTATCACGTTTCCGGTTCCCTACGGCGTAGATGTCCTCGATGAAACGGTTATCGCCGCAGTGAACCTCGTTGGGGCTGATGCGGACGATGGGACCTCGGCGCTGGTCAGCTCTGCTGTTCCCTCGACCGGCTCTGTGTTTTACTCTTGTTGCCTGGGAAGGAGGACTAAGATACCGTATTTGGCGTGCATCTGCATGATCTGTCGAGTGTAGCTGCCAGATCTCAGCACATCATAGTAGAATTCCGGAATGTATGTTGCAGCTGCGAGCCTGGGACCGGGGATGTGCCGCAGAGGGTGAAAGAATAGGTTGTAGATGACTTTGGAAACGTGGTACGCGATGTAGGTGCCTACCGCGACCAAAACAAGCGACTTGGGTAGGATATCGGTCCTGTTCCACACGGTTTCCTCCCAGAGCGACATCTTGACAAAAAGCCTGATATTAGGGGGGGGAGACGCTGCGACGTGAGAGCTACGATCTACTACTCGAGGTGCAAGCTCGTTCGTCTTGCCGGATAGTACCGCGATATAACATTAACAAGACGCGCTTCAACTTATGTCCACTCGACCATGTTCCCACGGTGCCATACAGGTAATCTTGAGACACAAGCAACTGGGGACCGACAGAAAGACAAATGCTGACTGACTGGCTGACCAACTGGCTGACCGACAGCGCGCCGCAGCCAGCTTCTCGTGGTCATGAACAGGCGCCAGCCGCATCGGCCTGTCATGCAGCGCCCCCCTCCAGCCCATCCTTCGGCCCAAACGCCGCCCGATGGATAGTCTTCGGCCAAAGACCAGGGGTTGCGGCGGCCGGTGACTGCGTCTGCGTGCCCCCAACCGAAATGGGCTAGATACATGCGTCCATCCCTGTCCTCCTCCTCTTCAGCGGGGACATGCAAACTGCGCTTATTTTGGAACTGCACAATGTGTCGAGGCATCAAGCGCAACCACGGAAACGCATCGCGTTTCTACTCTTGCCGCTTCGTTGCGACACTGAACCCGACGCCATGAATTCGTTGGCATGCCAAGACGATGGTTCGTTCGCATTGCATTCGGAGACGCATTCTTTGCACCCAATGATGGTGGCTTTTGCATTTCTGACTGAGAGATGAATGGATTCATTCGGCTTCTATCCATCCTCCTTTGATATGGTACAATTATTTCATTCCATCAATTGCCAGCCAGGCTCTGGTGTCGCCTTACTAGAGTGACAGCTTCGAAAAAGTCCCAAGTCGTACAACTGAATCTTGAGTATCAATTCTTTGGTCCGCGTACGGGAAACCTGAAGAAGGGATTTTGTACGAGGTCCCCTAGTGTGCACAGCTGGGTTCTTACAGAAACGCGACCAATTAGACCAGATCATTGGCGTGCAGAAATCGACAGATAACTTCCATATTCTATTCTATGAACAGGTAGAGATTGTTACAGCGGCGCCCACGTGTACAGGACGGAAAGGAAATATTCCCCGACAACCCCCGTCAGAAAAAATATATATATGGAGGTTGCAACATGCTGCTACGCAATTCCCCAATTACATATGTGTTCAAACTTTGAAACCTCTAGATCGGCCCATCCGTCTTCCCCCCGATGATCGGGTTGTAGTATCGAAAGCGGTTGGAGGGATCGTATTTCGCCTTGAGGTCGCGAAGTCTCTTCAAACGCCACGCCTCGTGCCCGTACATCTGCTCGACGGGCTCAAACCCGTTGGCGTAGTTGACGTAGGCGTTGACCGTCCGCGTCGGCTGGCCGTTATTCCAGAAGTCGCGCACCTCCTTGGCCCACTCCCAGCCGGCCGGCTCCAGCGCCGGGTCGCTGACGATGATCTGCACGAGCATGAGGTGGTGGTCGTCGCGGAAGGGGTAGGCCGAGTCGGTCGGGTCCTGGGCCTGCACGGCCTTGGTGGAATAGCCCTCGTGGAGCACGACGCCGCCGGCGGCGAGCGCGGGGTTGCTGGCGACGCGCCTCGTGAAGCCGTCGAAGATCTGGCGCTCGGCCGTCACGTTGTACACCTGGAGGCCCGCCGTGGCGGTTAGTCGGGTGTAGCCGTGCTGGCAGATGAACGAGTTCTCGTCTGTCTGCTGGGCCACCGAGATTGCCGGGTACGGCACGTTGCCTGACTCCTGGTAGACGGCCTTGATCTTGGTGAACGGGGCCAAATGCTTCTTTGCGTCCTTAGCGCTCCCTCGGTAGGCAAACGTCCAAAAGATGACAGGCTCCTTGTCGGTGATTGTAGTGTTCATGAGGAAGTTCCCAAAGTTGATAGCCATATCCACCGGGGTGTTACCGTTATTATGAAGATTATTAAGAGCTTTGAAGATTGCCTCAAGCTTATCTCCATGCCAGATAAAGTTTTGATAGAACCAGGTATCAGGGCCGCGGGGAAAGATATTCAGCTCGAAGCTAGTGACGATACCAAAGTTATGCCCAGCACCCTTCATAGCCCACAGAAGGTCACTGTAGCTCTTCCTGTTCACGCGGATAGCTTTGCCGTCAGCAAGAACGACGTTCAGCTGGAGGATGTTATCGCTAATCATGCCGTAGAGACCCTCGTGACGGCCGTGGCCGCCTCCAAGCCCGGGCCCCATCATGCCGACGCAATCGCAGGAGCCGGTAGTAGTGACGTAGCCGCGATCCCAAAGGTATCTCATAACTTGGCCGTCGTACGCCCCACCCTCGAACCAGGCAGACTTCCCACCGGGCTGGATATTGATGCCTTGAAGACTGGCCATGTTGACCTGGACGCCGTTGAAGGAGCCAAGGCTCTGCGAGTTGCCGTGATGGCGGTTGATGGTCAGGAAGGCGACGCTATTGTCATTGCAGTACTTGACCTATGGTACAAGTCAGCCAGACGATCTTAGGGAAGGTGGTCGGTCTCGGCAAAGACTTACAATGGTCGAGACGTCGGACTCCCGGCCAGGGGAGATGACAACCTTGACCTGGGGCACGGCAAAGTTGTTCCATCTCGACGTCGCCTCGTTGTAACGGTCATCGTCCGGGCCAAAGATGGCGGTTTCTCTAGAAACAAGCTTGCCGAGCTCGGCCCGGATCTGGTTCGTATCCAGCTGCGACCGGGTCGTAGGAGACCTCTCAAAGTAGTTGGGGATAGTCGCTGCAGCCGCAAGGGGCTGCCACACAGCTAGGGCGAGGATGAGTGAAACGATGCCCTTCATCTTGTTTGCTTGACGTGTATGTAGTGCAAGGTTACAGTGCAGAGTTGCGTTGCATTCTCGAGACTAGAAACTCCTGCATGTCTCTGAAGCCCGCATCATCATTCATTATATACCCTTTTCTCATCGACACAATCCAGCAATCTCGGCCTCGTATCTTCAAGATCCTCTTCCAAGCATCAGCTAGGCAACAAACATCTTTCCGTCGAGTGGTGTGTCATGGTCCTCTCGCTGGCCCCTACTCTTTCCCAGCGGCGCAGTTGTGTCGAGGCCGAAATATTGAAAGTGGCGTATCAGCCTTGGGGGCGGAGGGCACGCAGGATCACAAAAAGACCTCAGCCCATATTGCTGGAATGGGGTCGGTGCGAAGTCCAAGATGGAATAGCAGCGTGGACATGATGTCCAGGGGTTGGGGGCAGGAATCTTGCTATTGGCGACATCAAGCGCGGAGGCTGTTGGATGGGAATCCAAGGCCAGCCGCGGACCGCGAACCGAGAGACGCCGCACCACCATCACTCGAGCCTGGCCCAGCCGTCCCAGGGGCGACACAATGGGACGATTGGTGGGTATACAGCCGAGCTGAACATTCAAAAGGTCTCTGAAAATTGCTCAGCTGACACCGACGCCGAAGGGGCTTGGGGCCATCGGCCGACTTCACTGTGAGACGTGGGTGTCAGAGCCGATGCCCGACGGACCTGGAACCCTGTCTCAGCCAAGGGTCATTTAGACGAGATTTGTATTGCTTAGATTACAGCCAACTGCGTCGTCGTCTTCGCACCATGAGGATCAGACCATCGATTGTGCGAGGATGGTCGCGAATCACTTATGGAATTTACCTGAAAGTGAAATTTCCAAAGACTGAGGTTTCCAAAGACTGAGCGAGCATCTTTCTGAATATCACGAAGCATCCTGTTCATGTCTTCACTCCAAGCCCTGGGCGCTGCGGCAGAGCGGTCGGCGATTCTTCACTATGCCGCCTCGCTGGTGGCCGTCAGCCTCGCCCTCTACAGTCTGTACAGATGGCTTCTGCCCAAACCGATCCCCGGCATCGCCTACAACCCGGAGGCGACGACCTCCCTCCTCGGCGATGCCCCCGCGATGATCAAAGAGGTTGCCGTAACGGGCGAGTTTCGTGTCTGGTGCGCAAGGCAGGTTGTCAAGATGAACTCGCCGCTTTGCCAGATATTCATCAAGCCCTTCTCCAAGCCCTGGGTCCTGGTGGCCGACTTTCGGGAGGCCAAAGACATCCTGACGCGCCGCCGAGAGTTCGATAAGTCGTCTTTCCTCTCCGACGGCATGGCGTGTATGGGGTATTTCCACGGCATTTACACCACCGGGGACAAGTTCAAGGCGAATCGCCAGCTGATCCAGGACCTCATGACCTCCAGCTTCCTCGACAATCACGTCGGACCGGCGGTCTTGAACAAGGGCCTCGAGCTCGTGGAGCTGTGGCGGCTGAGAGCCAAACTGGCGAGGGGGCGTCCATTCAGCGTCAGGAAAGATCTCGAGTACACCTCGCTCGACGTGATGATCCACTTCGCCTTTGGCAGCAATTGGAGCCACACGGCCCTCGGTCCGCAGGTGCAGCTCCTCGGCGGACTGGCCTTGGAGGACGTCGACATCAAGACGGCGGACGAGCCCGTCGGTTTCCCAACTGTCCCCCTCGCCGACTTCCTGAACTCCGTCTACGAGGCCCCCGAGGTTGTGGAGAAGACCATCAATGCCCTCATGCCGAAGCTGCAGAGCTGGTGGTGGTCGAAGCAGTCGTGGTACAGGCACATCTTTGACGAGAAAGAGCGCGTCATGAAGGAGCAAGTCGCGATCGGGGTGGACCACTACCGCTCCGGGCGGGTCGAGACGGGAATCGAGCACATGCTGGTGCGAGAGGCGGCTCGGGCCGAGAAAGAAGGCCGGCCGGCCGACTTTGAGAGCAAAGTCCTCCGAGACGAGGTGAGCCGCAAGGCCCCCCCTTTGACACTATGTGACGCCACGACATGATGCTAACAAAGACCGATAGATGTTTGGCAACATCATCGGCGGCCACCACACGACCGGCGGAGCAATGATGTGGCTGACCAAGTATTTAATAACCTCGCCCGAGATACAGAACAAGCTACGCTCTGTGCTCTACGAGACGCTGTCGGTCGCCAGACGAGAGAATCGCCTCTTCACGTTCCAGGAAATCCGCCACGCGAAGCTCCCTTACCTCGACGCTGTCATCGAGGAAACGCTGCGCATCAACGCCGTCCCCGTGACGAGGGAAGCCATGTGCGACACCACGGTCCTCGGGCGCCCCATCCGGAAGGGAACCCAGGTCTTCTTCATGTCCAACGGGCCCGGCTTTCTCGCACCGCCCTTTTCCGTCAACGATGGGGAGCGGAGCGAGCAGTCGCGCGCGGCCAAGACGAACGCCGCGTGGGACGCCGCGCGAGACCCAGCGCTCTTCGACCCCGAGCGCTGGCTCATCCGCAAGAAGGACGGGCAAGGTCTCTTGGCGGAGGACGTCGAGTTCGACGGCGCGGCCGGGCCGCAGCTAGTGTTTGGCCTTGGTCCGCGCAGCTGCTGGGGAAGGAGACTGGCCTACATGGAAATGAGGATCGTCGTTGCCATCATTGTATGGAAGTTCAGGCTGTTGCCGGTCCCGCCGGAGTTGTCTTCGTACGCTGGACTAGAGGGGATCGCGCGAGTGCCTCAGCAGTGCTATGTCAGGCTCAGCGAGATGTAAAATCGCGCTTCTTGAGTGTTCCTAGACTCAGATTTTTGAAGATACAATCGTAAATTCCTGTCTTCCTCTCTCTCTCTATCCTCGAGCCTAGGTAGCTTCGACACAACTTGAGAATTCAAAGCCGGTGACCACGTCTACTCTGACATGCCGGACCCCGTGAGCAACTTCCTGAAGCCATCATTCCAGACCGCGGCCCCTTGAGCACCGAAACCAACGCCGATTTCGTTCTTCAGAGAGCCGTCCGGTGCCGTCTCTTCCAGGGCAGCAAAGAACCGTTCAATGTATTCCTCGAGCGGCATGGGCTGGACCGCCTTGTCGCTGCCTCCCTGAAGCGCATCCGTCTGAGCGCGGTGCGCGGCGTTCAGGGAGGTGTCGACGTAGGGGGGCACGATCTCGACGACGTTCATGTTGGTGCAGCCAGTGGCCTGCAGCTGCATGCGCAGGACCTTGACGAAGGCGGCGACGCCGGCCTTGGAGGGGCAGTAGGTCGGGTAGAAGGGCACCGGGAAGTACGCCAGGGATGAGCTGGTGAGGAACATGTTCGTTTTGGTGCCGGACCTTGCCAGGGCAAGGAGATGCGGCGCAAAGTAATGCGCGGCGAGTATCGGCGCCGTGAGGTTGAGTGTCATTTCCCTGATGACTTCGGCGTCATCGGGCGGCTGCATAAACATGTCATAGTGGTTCTGGATGCCGGCGTTGACAAGGACGGTATCAAGGTTAGGGAACTCTGACAGGATGCTTTCGACCTCTTGTCGCATCTTTCCTAGATCCGCCAAGTCCCACTTGAATCGAGATTTCGACAATGAGCTCACTCGGCCGACAGGGGTGGGGGAGACGGTCATCCATCAAGAGTAGAACTCACCACGCGGAACTTGAGGCCTGGAAGGTCTCGGGCAAGCTGTGCCAATGCCTCTCTGCTCTGCTCGCGCCCGGTAGCAATAACCTTCTTACCCAGGGCGTGGAACCGATGAGCCAGGGACTCGCCGATGCCGGTGGCGGCGCCAATGATCAAGATGGTGTCGATTCTGGAAGACATTGTGCCGGCTCAGAGCTCTGGGTTGCGAGTGAAATGAAACTGGTGTTGGACGAAGATGATGGCACATCATGGCCTCCTCTGAGCGCGCCGTCCAATGATATAAGAGCGAATGGCAGTAGGCCAAAAAGTAAAGCGGTTGGCCGAAAGGGGTCGGAATCAAGGCGTCGGCCGCACCGGGATGTGCATGCAGTCAGCAGGACAGCCGAACCCTTGCCCGCCGCAAAAAGACTCGTCGGCCGACGAAAGACGGTTACATGGCCTGGGCACGGAAAGTGGAGGTTGCATAATACACGCGGCCACGATTTTCCATTACAGACATTTCCACGGGATGATGGTAGGCTGCAACACGTACACTTTCTAACTATCAAGAGAAGCAAATGTATTGGAACTACTCAAGGACGAAGGCTCTGCCAGAAGCCCTCTCTTGCGTCGCAACCGCTGTCATTGGCGCGCCCGACGGTCTCGCCTCGGGCCGTAAATCACGATCGCTCCAGGTAGACCTCTAGCAGACCGAGCGGCCCGTTGTCAAAGGTGTTGCGGATCACATATCTAGAGTCCGCCTCCTTCAGCAGCGCCGCGAACTCGGCCTCGTTACGCTGCTTGGCACCGCAGTTGACCAACATGACCATGTCCACCTGCCGCACGATGCGCTCCTGGTGGCGGGGCCACTTGCCCGGCTCGGGAATGATGATGTCGTTGATGAGTAGCGGGGTATCGGGGCTCGACCCCTCGAGCCCAGGGACGAACGACTTGAAGATGGTGACGACGTCCCGGTCCGCCCAGTTGTGCGTGCACTGGCGGATCAGAAAGGCGGCGGCGTCTGTGACGGGCTGGGGGTCGAAGAAGCTGTGTTGGGAATATGTCACCCGATCCCGGAGACTGTCTGGGAGCGATTCTTTGCCCTCGGAAAGCATTTCAGCGTTGGAATCTTGTACGACGAAGTTGAGGTCGGGATAGAGCTGTGGATGTTAGATTTGATGCGGCAAATGGGCTCTAAGGTGGTGTCGGAGGAGGAGGAGGGAACGGGCTTACTTGAGCCAAGCTCTTGGAGATGTGTCCGTTGCCGCCGCCGCAGTCGACCACGGTGCCTTTGATAGCGGACCAGTCGAAGCCGTCTTTGAGGAGGTAGTCGAGATGGCGATCCATCTTTCGGAGGCCCGCCATGGCCTTGGCGAAGCGGCGGGCCTTGTCCGGGTTGTTCTTGTAGAACTCAAAGATTCCCACGCCGTGCCGGGTGACGAACGGGTTGAGGTTCTGGTGCGACTCGTGGGGGTTGGCCTTGAGGCTGACGTTGCAATCGGCCGCCGCCTTTAGCATCTCGTCGAGCGAGTAGTGGACGACGGAGCGGAGGTCCTCATCCTGTCTCATGGCGAGCGAGGTGGAGCTATGAGAGATCATCCGCGGCCGGAGCTCGTCAAAGATGCGGTAGGTCATGAGCTGCCGGACGACGCGGCCGGTGCGGTCCACGTCCAGCCCGGCCTTGTCGGCCAGGTCCTCGAGGGCAATGTCTCCACTGGCCGGCACCAGCTCGAAGAAGTCAAAGTCGAGGGCGATCTGGAGGGCGCCCAGGTCGTAGCCGGTGCAACAGAAGGCCCTGAGCCACTTGCTGGGGCCGTCGATAAGGTGCAGAAGGTCCTCGAGGCGAGACTTGAGCGAGGCATGGAGGTGGCGATAGTCCGGTGTGTCGGGAGGGTCCTGAGAGCTGAGCGCAAATGTCGGCGCGGCAATGTTGTTGGCCTGGAAGTACTTGGTCATGTCCTGGGTGAGTTCCAGGACGTCCTGTGCCAGGCCCAGAATGGACGAGGACGGATCCTGAACAGCAACCGTGTTTGTGTGGTCAGTCATTTTTTGCCCGAGATATGTTTTGACGAATAAGCTATTGAGTCTAGAACGAGAAGCGTATGCTTGCGATTAATGGTGACCCGGCTAAGGGTTGGTAGGGGGGAGGGAGTTGAGAAAATGAGATTTGCACGTACAACACCTCAGCGACATAAGCTTTGGGAATACTCCTTCTCGATGTTTGCCGTTCCGAATGTGAGGACTCAAGAGTTGCGATGACCCGAAGAGTCCGCCGGCCGGTTCCGTGGGCTGACCCGGCATCGGGCATGACGGACAAGGGCGTCGGCCGACAGTTCCAGAGTTGGCCGTTTTGCCTCGGCCGAAGAAACACACATAGAGAGACACAGAAAACAGTGTCCTCATTAGGCAAAATCTTACAGCAGGATGGAACGGCGGGGGGGAGTTTAGCGATCGTGTAAAGAGAGCATGGAGGATGTCATCATACTGACTGTAGTCGTGCCCTGTTCGTCATTGCCGTAGAACATCGTTTAGAAGACTGCGGTATGCAAAGAGCAAAGCTTCATTCAACATCACTGCTCAGTGCCTAACTGCTTGTCTAAATTCTGTTGATCAAAAGTCAACTCATCATGACTCCCTCCCAGCACAACCGCGACCCGCACGAGCCGGTGGCTATCATAGGCATGGGTAGGAAACCCTCGTCCCCTTTGCCTCACTATTGGAGTAGAACTGTAGACTGAAAGACTTGAACAGGATGCCGATGGCCGGGTGGAGTCCATGACACATCTCAGTTTTGGGAGTTCTTGCGCGACAAGACGAACGGCTGGAAGGAATTCGACGGACCGCGCTTCTCAACACAGGGTTTCCATCATCCAAGCCCCGATAGGCCAGGCTCCATATCCATGAAAGGCGCATTTCTCGCCAAAGAGGACGCCCGACTGTTTGACCACGCCTTTTTCGGCATGACGGGCCTCGAAGTAGAGACAATGGACCCGTCCCAGCGTAAGTTGCTCGAGGTGTCGTACGAAGCCATAGAAAATGCTGGAGAAACATGGGACAGCGTCTCTGGGTCCCGCACCGGAGTGTTTGTCGGCAACTTTTGCTTGGATCACTGGATGATCCAATCGCGCGACTGGGATAACCCAAGACCGTACGCCTTTACCGGTGCTGGCACCAGCATCCTCGCCAACCGCATCAGCTACATCTTCAACCTTCAAGGGCCAAGGTGTGTTTACTACTCTCCAGCGGAGGTCCGACCATCCTGCAACAGCCGCTGACGAGCTTCCCTCTAGCCTGACTGTTGACACGGCCTGTTCGTCGTCCATGTATGCTCTCCACCTGGCGGTCAACTCGATCCGAGCCGGAGACTGCGATGCCGCAATTGTGGCATCCGCCAACTGGATTGCGGATCCCGGCGTCCAGATAGCCCTCGACAAACTCGGCGCGCTTTCTGCGTCGTCGCGGTGTCACACCTTTGATGCCAGAGCTGAGGGCTACGCTAGAGGAGAAGGGTACGGGGCCATCTACCTGAAGAGGCCATCGCTAGCCGTCGCCGACAGCTCGCCCATCCGCGCAATCATCCGGGGGACCGCCATCAACTCCAACGGCCGGACGGGCGGTATCACCCGGCCAAGCGCCCGTGGCCAGGAGATGGTCATCCGGGAAGCCTACCGCAGCGCCGGCGACCTCCCCTTCCGCGACACCAGCTACTTCGAGTGCCACGGGACGGGCACCTACGTCGGTGATCCGATTGAGGTGGCCGCCCTGGGGAGGGTGTTCGCCCCCGAGAGATCCGCCGACGACCCTCTTCTCGTCGGCTCTGTCAAGAGCAACGTGGGCCACGGTGAAGGCGCCAGCGCTCTGGCGTCCATAATGAAAGTGGTGCTATCTCTCGAGAACGGCGCCATTGCCCCCTTGTTCGACCTTCAGACACGAAACCCCAACATCGATTTCCAAGGCGCCAACGTTCTGCCGGTAACAGAGGTCACCCCATGGCCCAAGGACCGGCCCCAAAGAGCCAGCATCAACTCGTTTGGATACGGTGGCGCCAACGCTCACTGCATCATCGAGCATGTCAGCATCGTGCTGCCCGATTATGTAGCCCCTGGCGTCTATCAGCGCAAGGCCAACGGTCATACCAACGGCCACACCAACGGTTACACCAACGGAACTCACCAGGGAGAGCCAAGGGAACCTCTTTTGGGCATCCAAAGACCAACTTTGGCTGCCTCACCCAACGCAGCCACACGCCAGCTCGTACTCTTGCCGCTCTCGGCCCACACGGAACGTTCTTTCGAGTCGAACCTCGCCGCCTTATCGCGGGTCATCGACAAGGTCCCTCTGGCAAACGTCGCGTACACCCTCGGTTCCAGGCGCTCGAGGTTCGCCCAACGGTCGTTCCGCGTCGTGGACAGGGACAGCATCGCCCAGGGACTCGCGACGCCTCAGAAGATTGTGCGGGCGCCTCTGCAGACCGCCAACCTAGGCTTCATCTTCACCGGCCAGGGAGCGCAGTGGCACGGCATGGGCCGCGAGCTGTTTGAGTTTCGTGTCTTCCGAACAGCCATCGAGGACCTCGACCGCGTCCTCGGCTCTCTCGCGAACCCCCCCTCGTGGTCCCTGCTAAGCATCCTCTCCGGGGACTGCGAAGACGTCGCGCTGGTCCAAACCGCCGAAATATCCCAGGCCGTGTGCACCGCCGCGCAGATTGGTCTGGTCGACCTCCTTGCCTCGTGGTCCATCAGGCCTTCCGGTGTTGCTGGGCATTCGTCCGGAGAGATAGCAGCGGCATACGCTGCTGGCCGCATCACGGCGGCCGAGGCCATTGTGGCTGCATACCTCCGTGGCCAGGCGGTCGCGAAGAACAGCCAAAAGGGCGCAATGCTGGCCGTGGGTCTTGGAGTCGAGCAGGTGTCACCGTACCTCGACAGCAGAGAAGACGAAGTCAAAGTCGCAGCTATCAACTCCCCAGGCAGCGTAACTTTATCCGGCGAACCGGCCGCCATCAAGGACATCTCTGCAGCCATGACGGCGGACGGCGTCTTCAACCGTCAACTGCAGACCGGCGGCAATGCCTACCACTCACACCACATGCTGCCAATCGGACGGGAGTACTCGGAGATGCTCGCCAAGGGACTCGAAAGCGTCCAAGACGTCGGGCCGGACTCTGCAAGGAGGCGGCGCTACGAACCTACCCTGTGGATATCGTCAGTGACACCTGCCAAGAGCACCACCGAGTTCGGCGATGCGGCATCGTACTGGAGAGCCAACCTGGAGTCTCCGGTCCTCTTTTCAGAGGCAGTTACGAGGCTCGTGAGCAGAGAAGACGTGCCCATCAACGTACTTGTGGAGATTGGCCCTCACCCGGCGTTGAAGACACCCTTGGAGCAGATCCTAAAGGATGCCGGCAAGACCGTCTCGTACGCGTCGACGTTGAAGCGACAGGAGGACGGTCGCCGCTCGGTACTGCAGTGCGTCGGTACTCTGTTTTGTCTCAACGCAAGCGTCGACCTTGCTGCTGTTAATGCCGTCGACATCGCAGATGGGACACGGTTGGAACACGGCCATGTCAGCTCCGACCTTCCACCATACCAATACACCTACGGGGGACTGAACTACCACGAGAGCCGTGCCAGCAAAGAGTACCGCCATCGGTCCATCCTCAGGCACGATCTGCTGGGTTCCAAAGTTGTCGGCAACGCCAAACTGCGGCCCCAATGGCGGAACATACTCCGTATGAAAGACGTTCCGTGGCTGGGTGATCATCGCCTTGTGCCAGGTAAGCTGATCCATATCTAGGCCCGATAATCACGAGACAGGACAGAGTACACTAACCGGTGGCAACTTGCTTTACAGATGCTGTGCTGCCAGCGGCAGCGTATGTGGCCATGGCAGTAGAAGCTGCTTTACGCGCCCATGCTGAGTCCGGCAGGACTTCAGGCGTTGAGGGGCTCTCGCTTCGTAACATGGATATTAAGAAGAGCTTGGTCATCCCGGAAGACGACTACGGCGTCGAGATCCTGACGAGCATGGAGCTGGTTGACGAGTCCCCGTCCCAACCCCCGGCATGGGCGACCTTCTCAATCAGCTCTGTGAAGCGCGATACGGACGAATGGACGGAGCATAGCACCGGCCGCATCAAGATCCATCACGCCAAGGCCGACAAGCACATCGTCGACAAGCATCAAGTCCATCACGCCTCGCGCGCCGTGGATGCCCAAGTCTGGTACAACAAGTTCCTCGACATCGGCCTCGGCTACGGCCCGGTCTTTCAACCACTGTCCGACATCCGCGTCGACCCGGTCTCCGGCGCCACCGTGGCGACCATTGACCTCCAGCCATCTTCTTCCTCTTCTTCTCTGGCGGGAGGTGAATCACGATATCCAGTCCACCCGGCGTCCCTGGACGGGGCCATCCAGCTGGGGCTGATTGCCTGCCACAAAGGCCGGCCGGACGAGGCCAGCACGGCCTTCCTGCCGGTCCAAATCCCCCGGCTTTACATCTCGAACGCCATCGCGCAAGACGTGTGCACTGTCACTGCGCGTGGGACGAGGCGGGGGATCCGCAGCGCCCACCTCGACCTGCAGATGCTCGGCCCCGACGGCGAGGTCCTCGTCAGCGTGGAGAAGCTGCGCTGCGTCAGCTACTCCAGCGAGGCGAGGCCTGCGGGCGCCGACGACGACGACACGGCTTTCAGTAGCCCGTTCACGCGGCTCGTCTGGAGGCCCGATATCCGCATGCTCACAAACCGACAGGCCCGTCAGTTGTACCCGCCGCCCGAACAAAACGTGCAGAGGGCGCCTCTCTGGGGAATCACGAACAGGGTGGCTCACCTGGTCATCCTCAGCATATACGAAAGCTTTGGGAAGCTGGTGGGAGACGTGCCCAAGCCTTCCGGCGACGTCGGCCACTTCTTCGACTGGGTCAAGAGGAAGGCCCAGAACGACGACTCAGACGCGATGAGGGAGGCCAGGGGGCTGGCGGCGGCGGTGGTCGACGGCGGCCTCCCGGACAAGATTGACGAGCTAGTCGGCCAGGCCGGCGACGTCGTGGAGGTCCAGATCGCGAAGCTCCTTCACGACCACGCGGCCGACATCCTGTTCGAGCGCCGGACCGGCATGGATGTCATCATCGGCGCGGGCCTTCTGACGCCTCTCTATCAGAGCGGCCTACTAATGACGGGCATCTACCCGCAATTGTCGCACGTTCTGGAGGGCCTCGCCCACGCGAGCCCGAACGCGCGCGTCTTGGAGATCGGGGGCGGCACCGGCGGCGCAACGCGCATCGCCATGAAGGCCTTCGCCGGCCCCAACGGCGTCAAGGCCTACAGAGACTACACGTTCACCGACATCTCTGCCGGGTTCCTCTCGTCGGCGCGCGAGTCCCTGGCCGGGTTCCACGACATGCACTTCTCGGTGCTGGACGTCGAGGCGGACCCCCTGGGGCAGGGATACCAAGCGCAGGCGTACGACCTCGTCATCGCGTGCCAGGTCCTCCACGCCACATCCAATATGCACAGAACGCTGTCGCACTGCCGCCGCCTTCTCCGGCCGGGCGGCAAGCTTGTACTGGTGGAGACGAACCGCAACTTCACCGTGCCCGGCATCGTCGTGGGCACTTTTACGGGCTACTGGGCTGGAATCCCCGACGGCCGCGTGGATGCCCCGTTCCAGAGCCTGGCCGCCTGGGAGTCCTCCTTGAGAGACGCAGGCTTCTCGGGCCTCGACTTGGTGCTGGATGATTTTCCGGAGCCGCACAACACCACTTCAGTCATGGTATCTACGGTCCTAGCAGAGCCGAGGGCGCCACCGCCGCCTCCTCCGTCTGCCGCGGTTCACCTGCTCCACGGCAGCAGCGGGGAGTCATTGACGCGGCACATTGCCGACGAGCTGGAGCGTTGGGCATTCGAGGTGACGACCGGCCCGCTCGACGCAGCCCCCGACTCCGTCACGCCGGGATCCCGCGTGGTGGCCCTGTGCGACGACGAGCATCTCCTGGTCGACGGAGCCGGCGATCAGGGCTTGCGCGTGTTTCAGCACCTTTCAAGGACCGCCTCGAGCATGCTCGTTGTTACGAGCTGTGGTGCCGCCAGAGGGCGCAACGCGGACGGCGCTCTGCTCCCCGGCCTGCTGCGCGTCCTCCAGAACGAGAACCCCGCGAGCCGATACGCGTCGGTGGACGTGGACGCGGACGACTTTAACATGGATGCTACCGAGACTGCAGACCTCGCCCGCCAGATTGCTCAGCTGCTAGATGACGGGCTCGGTCACGCCGGGCGCCCAGCGGCGAAAGACGACGGGGAGACGGAGACGGGTCCGGATCTGGACCGTGAGTTCGCCTGGCAGGACGGCTGCCTGTGGGTGAGCCGCCACATACCCGACGGGGGTTTCCATTCACAACACGGCCTTGACGGCCGTAAGATGAAGCCGGAGCTGCTCCCGCTCGCTACCCACGACGGGGGCGTCCGCGCCGCGTTCGAGACGCCCGGGGTGCCCGGCTCGCTGTACTTTAGGCCGTACAACGAGCTCCACCGGCCGATCCCGCCGGGATATATAGACGTCACCGTCGAGGCCGTCGGCGTAAGCGACAGGGACATTGACACGTGGACGGGCCGCCGGGACGGAGACCACTTCTCGTCCGAGTACGCGGGCGTTGTCACCTCCGTTTCCGGCCACGGCCCCACTTCTGATCCCGACTCCGAGGGCGCGGGGTCCACCCACGGCTTCCGGGTCGGCGACCGCGTCTACGGCCTGGGCAAAGGGCAGCTCGGCAATCGTACGCGCGTCCCGGCCGCCTTCGCCTGCAGGCTCGCGCAGGGCCACGATGCCATGGGGGCAGCCTCAATGCCCCTGGCGTACGCGACGGCGGTGTACGCCCTGGAGCACGTTGCCCATCTGCGAAAGGGCACGTCGGTGCTCGTCCAGGCGGGCGCCGGCGACGCGGCGACGGCATCCATTATCCTGGCGAGGGCCAAGGGAGCCGACGTGTTTGTCGCCGCCGAAACGCCCGAGCAGGTAAGCTTTCTCGTCGACAACCTGGTCGTTCCGGCTTCACACGTCATCGAGGGGCACGGCTTAGACCGGCTCCGGCAGGTCGCACAAAAGACTCGCAGAGGCGGATTCGACGCCGTCATCTGCACTTCTAGCTACGGCAGCGACGTTCCTTCCGCATTGTTGGAGGTGCTGGCGCCCCTGGGACGGCTCATCGACGTCGGAGGCCGGGGGGCCGACTCGCAGACGCTGGAATTGCTTCCGCCCATGGCAACCTACTCCGTGATCGACGCCCTCGCCATTTTCGACGCGGACCCGGCTCTCGGCGCAGAGCTCATGGAGAGCGTAGGCGACTACCACCGGAAAGGACTCATCGGGCCTCTCCCGGGGATCACCACGGTCGACGTCGGCCGCCTGCCCTCAGCGCTGCGCGACGCGGCCGACAAGGCGCCGGGAAAGCTCGTCGTCTGCTTCCAGGATCCTGGGAGCCTCGTCCGGATGGTCACGCCGGCGCCGGCCGCCAGGCTAGACCCGGAGGCCTGCTACGTCGTCACCGGAGCCTTGGGCGGCGTGGGGCAGTCGCTGGTCGGATGGATGGCCGACCGGGGCGCGAGGCACCTGGCGCTCCTCTCTCGACGCGCGGCTTCGAGCGTGCCCGGGGCTGCAGAGCTCATCTCGTCGCTCACCGGCCGCGGCGTCCAGGTTGAGTGCTTTGCCTGCGACGTCAGCAACAAGGGGGACGTGGCCGACGTCATGCAACGCGTCTCGTCACGCCGGCCCGTCAGGGGCGTCGTTCACGCCGCCGTCTCGTACCTCGACCTCAGCTTCGACAAGGTCGAGGCCGCGCGGTGGCGCGAAGGCCTGGCAGCCAAGGTTCAGGGCACCAGGAATTTGCACGAGGCCACGCTGGCGATGCCCCTCGACTTCTTTGTCATGACCACCTCGGCCCTCTCACTCTATGGATTCGCGACGCAGGGCGCGTACACGGCCGCCAACAGCTTCCAGGATGCCTTCGCGCGCTACCGTCGACGGCTCGGCCTCCCCGCGTCGACTGTGTCTTTCGGCCTCATCAGAGAGGCCACGGCCGTGGGCACCGACGCGACGACGATCGACCTATTCGAGCGCAACCGGGCGGCGACGCTGAGCGAGTCCCAGTTTCTGACGCTCCTCGGGCCCGCGTTTCTCGACAACCAGACCTCACATGCCGCGGACCCGGCTCAGTGGCCTGGCCGGCAGCAAGACCCCCTCTCGTGCGCGAACCTGCACACGTACCTCGACCCGCGTGCAATGGCCAGAAGAAGGAGCAAGGCCTCTTCGTCTGCGGTGGCACCGCGCTGGCACGGCGACGCGCGCGCCTCGCTGATGATGCGCGCCGCGCGCGACTGCCAGCAGCTCTCCGACCAGCTCGAAGGCTCCCCCGGCGAAGCGTCGCTCAGCACCACAGCGCTCCTGCGGGCCGAGTTGGCGGCGGCCGTCGCGGAGGGGGCGGCCGGACGGCCCTCCGCCGTCGCTCTCGCGCAGGGCGCCATCGTCAAGGCGGTCGCCGAGATGCTGTTTGTCGACGCCGAGAGCATCGACCCGGCTAAGTCGGTCGCGGACCTGGGCGTCGACAGTCTGATTGCAGCCGAGCTGCGCAACTGGTTCCTGCAGGCGCTCGGGGCCAACATCAGTATGCTGGACCTGCTCGACCCGGCCGTGGGCATCAGCAAGCGGGCTACCGACATCGTCGATGGGGCATTGTCACAGTCTTTGAAGGCATGAAGGGAACTTAGGAGATATTTTCACATTGGAAAGGGGTGCTTGGCACTTTGATGGAGACTTCAAAGTCTCAGGTACTAGTTTGATATCGATCTTCAACGTTCCTTTCCCACAGAGTTAAGGTAGTTTACAGTTTAGTTAATAATAAAATTGACTACTACTACTTGTCATCCCAGTAGTTAATAGAGCAGTTAATATTAGATGTATGACACGATGACGAAAGTCTTTCTTTGCGCCAGACCTTGCCTAGCCTAGTGTTTTCACAGTTACAGAACTCACGCCTAGAAATACCCAGCGAAGATGGTATGTAAGATGTTCCTTCAATATATCTACCAGCTAGTTCTACAAAGGACGGCTCTTTCTTGAGATGCAAGGTTCAAGTCTCGTCTCACAACGGCTTCCTCGCCGTACACACGACCCTCGGGACGCAGAGAGCGGCGCCGCTCACGGCCTCGCCGTGGGCATCCTCGACGATGCGGAAGTACTTGGCCGCCGACTCGGCATTGCCGAGCTTTGCGAGCCCCTCGGCGAACTCCTCGGCGGTGAGCAGGTGCTGGTCGTTGAAGGCGCGGGCCAGCTCAGGCCCGTCACCAACGAAGTCCGTCTTCGCGTCAACAAAGCCCTCTTCGGCGACGAAGTCGGCCAGCTGGACGGTCCAGTCATGCCGTCCGCCAGCCCGAGTCCAGTCGCGCAGCTGGTCGAGACCCGGCGTTGGCATGGCCGGGTCGACCTTCTTGACGGAGACGTTGACGGTGTCGAGCTCGTCCCACTGCAGGCGGCCGCCGGGCTTCAGCAGCTTGGCGAGGTTCCTGATGACGGGCCGCGGGTCCTGTGACTCGACGACGAGCAGCAGAAGCCGTGTGTGAACGTAGTCGTACCTGCCGACCAGGTCGTCCGGGATGTCGTGGAGTATGTTGAGGTGCCGCACGCGGACGTTGGGCGGCAGCCATTGCGGGTGGGGAGACTGGCGGAGGTCATAGTCGAAGCCGTCCAGCCGCGCCTCCGGCAGCTCCCGGGCGACGTCAATGAGCCAGATGGCGCTCCCCGAGGCCACGTCGGCGATGGCGGCGGTGTTGGGGAGCGAGGACTTGATGGAGGGATGGATATTGAAGTTGAGAGCAGACCGCCATAGGTAGAACTGGAGATTCAAACGGGCGGCGGCTGAATGGCTTCGGTCACGGTTCAAAATGTAGCCATGGCCGTTTGTCAGGGTCCAGTCCGTTGCTTCTGTGGCCTTTTCCTGCATCATTTTTGCTGCTGGTGTTGGATTGCTGGGAGGGCTCGCAAGTCAGTTGGTACTGTTTTTGTCCTTTTCGACACATTCAATCGAGCCGGAGACCGCATATTCGGTTCTTTGTTCTTCTTGAGATGGAGAACGATATCTTCCTCTCACCCCCGTCACTCCTTGGCCACCCATCATGGACTCGGCAGGCTCAAAGGCTGAAGGGCGGGCGGGCGCGAAATGGTGTTGCGATTCGGCTCAGTCGACCGAAGCGCAGTCAGCCTCGACGGGTGAGACACCTGTCAAATTAGGCTACATCGGCCGACATACTGCGTCTAAACATTGAGTCTCGCCCGCGCAAGTAAGCCAATAATGTGAAGTACCTCGCATCGGGCGACGTATGTCGGGCGTCGGCTGACGCACCCGCAAGGGGGATGTTTGCAAGTGTCGGAACCAACAAACAACCAACAAGCCTGCCTACACTTAGACGAGCTGAAAAGCGGCACAGGAATGGATTACCAAGCAGCTTTTGTTGACGGGTCGCAGGCTGTAGCAGATTCAAGTATTGAAAAGGCCGCCGGATAAGACGGATGATGGATCGAAGCAATAGCTTAGTGGCTCACTCAGAACTCACTCACTCGCAGTCTCACTCACCCACTCATCTCCAGATCAATCCTTTTCATCATACACACTCCACTTCACACCCAGCCAGTCACCTCCACCTCCACCAGCGCAGCCCCCACAAACAACCAATCATCATGGCTTCGTTCCTCATCACTGGCGCCTCCCGAGGCTTTGGCCTGGCACTCACCCGCGAGCTGGTCTCCCGCCCAGCCTCCGAGGTGGGCACCATCATCGCCTCGGCCCGCGGAGACTCCCCCGATTTGAACGAGGTCGCCAAGGGCTCCTCCGGCCGCGTCGTTGTGGTCAAGCTCGACGTCACCGACGATGCCTCCGTCAAGAAGGCCGCTGCCGAGGTCGAGGAAAAGCTTGGCGGTAAGGGTCTCGACGTCCTGATCAACAACGCAGGCGTCTGCCAGTACGCGACCGACGGTACCAAGTCTATGTAAGTTGAAATTCATTTCATGTTTCCTCTGCTCCCTCATCCACCAACTTGGCTGCTTGACCAACACGCTGTTCACAAAGGGAAAACCTCCAGGAGAGCCTCGACATCAATGTTTTCGGCGTCCACAGGGTCACAAAGGCCTTTCTTCCTCTGCTACAGCAGGGCAAGCTCAAGAAAGTAGCCAACATGTACGTTATCAAACCAGAGACCCCACCCAGCACAGCCTTCTCTTTCACTTTCTGACCCAGACCTCGCTTTCTCATAACAGCTCGACCACCTTCGGTTCTCTGGCCATCATGCCCTACGTCCACTTCATGCCCGCCCCATCCTACAAGATCTCCAAGGCCGCCATGAACGCCCTCACGGTCCAGTACGCCCTCGACCATGCCAAGGAGGGCTTCTCCTTCATGGCTCTCTGCCCCGGCGTATGTCCACCCCTCTTTTCTTTTTCCTCGTGTCGTGTCAATGAGCGTTGGCTGATGAACTCCTTTTCGCCTGTTTAGTGGTTGAAGACCGACCTCGGCGGAGGCGACATGGCAGACCTGACCCCCGAGCAGGGAGCCAAGGCTTCGCTGGACATCATCTACAAGCCTAACGAGCAGACCAACGGCAAGATGCCAAAGGTGTTTGTCAAGGGCTGGGAGGACGCGAAGGGCCCCAACGTCTACGATGGCACCGATGTCCCCTGGTAAGGCGGTCCAGCCGATGGCTTTGACATCGTATTGAATGATTCCGGGGCTCCAAATTGCCGCTGGAGTGGGTTTAAAACGTAGCAAGTCTCTCCGGCTTGTAGTATCCTTCCCAAGCAATAAACCCGTAGTTGCAAAGAAGAAACAAATAAAAGACTTTCGAGATTCACTCTTTTCTTTTCCTTTCTTTTCTTTTCTTTCTTCTTCTTGTTTTCTCTTTCAGCGAAGAAAAAAAAGGCGGGGTGGATGTGCTCAACGTCTTTCTTGACACAACGTTACTTCTCTACGCAATACACTTTGTGGCTGTCTCAATGACTGACCATCTCCAGTGGTGGTCGTGAGTGAAGGGACGCCGCACGCCACAAGAATTAGAACTAGCTGTCCAACACCGCCAGTCTAAACATTGAATCTAAACATACATGATACGCAATTACGGGTGATGTTCACTAAAACGAGTGGTCGCCCCAAAAGTCCCCGCTTTGTGTGTACATGGCGATGTTGGCCGCGTCAAACGAAAGCCACTGAGACACGTCAGCCGACGCCGGCGGCGTCCCCGTCCCGCCGCCAGCCGCGAATTCGACCGCCAGGCGGTGATGGCCCGGAAGGTCGGGCCCGCCGTGCAACCACGCCGCCGGCAAGCTTCCCACCACCGTCGACTCCCCGGTCTCCTTGCCGAACTCGCCGTCCACGTCCTCCTCCTCCCGGGCCCCCGGAGTCGTCGCCACGTCCGTGGAGGCGGCCGCCGAGAAGCCTTCGCCCTCAGACAGCCTGCCGAGGAGCTGGCCCAGGGTGCTCGCACCAAGGTCCGCCATACTGCTAACTTCGGCCAGCATCTTCAGCCGGTCCAGGCCGCCCTGAACGGCCTGCAGACACCCGGAGCGCGAGAGCCCGGGGATCCCCGCTTGCAGCGGATCGGCGGCCTCCTCGTGCGGCGGCGGCGGCGTGGGAGGAGAGTAGGAGGTGTCTGGACGCTGGCGCTCGCCGGGGAACGAAGGGTCCGCGAGCAGAGACAGGAGCAGGACGGCCGCCTCAAAGGTCGAGATGACGATGCAGGCCAGCCGCGTGTGGCGACCCCCGAGCAGCGCGTGGAGCTTCCCGACGCTGTCGAGGGTGCGCAGAGCGGCGACGGCCAGGGTCCTCTTCTGAAAGCTCAGGAGAATGGCCTTGTACGCCGGCAGGGGCGCGGGCCGGCACAGGAGCAGCGGCCGGAAGTTCCAGCACAGCGAGTCGTACACGGCCGTGTGCAGGAGCTGCCGCTGGAGGGGCAGCCGCGGGAACTGCTTGTCCCGAGACTCGTCGGGCCTCGTGAGGGCGAAGCTCGGCGGCAACTGCGGGAGAAACTCGCGGCAGAACCGGTCGTAGCGCTCTCCGGCCGCCATGGCATCGTACTCGGCGCCGCTCGGGGGGTTCACGCCGCGCCAGAAGTCAGCCAGGCGTGCCTGCAGGAGCCGCTCGGCAAAGGGATCGACGTCCTGCTGCAGCTGCGGCTGAGCGCCGTGGGCGAGGCGTCCCGGAAGGAATGGAGCGCGGTCTAGCTGGCCGGAGAGCAGGCTGTCGGCGATGTAGAGGTTGCAAAAGACCCTCCGGGCCATCTCCCGGTCGACCTCGTCGGCGGCGGCGACAGCAGGGGTATCGCAGTGCATGCCGACGTTCTGGGCGACGCGGATGGCGCGGCCCAGGGCCTCGGCGTAGGCTCTCATGTTGCCTTCGGCCTGGTACTTGAGCCCCAGGAAGGCGAGATGCTGCGCTCTGACGGGCGATCCGCGGCTGTCAGCGGCGGCGCTGATGGTCTCGGCCTTGTCGGCCGCGTCATTGCAGGCCTCGCGCAGGTCGGAGAGCAGCTCTCCGCGGATGCGGTCGAGGGGGTAGGCCGGGGACGGCAAGAACTGCAGTGCGTAGGAGCATATCCGCAGCACCAGAACGGCGAATTCGACGTCCGGGGCACGCTTGGCCCACTCGGCGGCGCTCCATCTCTGGTACTTTTCCAGGAACCATGGGACGTGAACCAGCTGATCTATCCTGCCGGCGGCGAGCGTTAACTACCGTGTCAGGAGTACACACAAAGTCCATGGAGGGGAAGGGGGAAGGGAGGGGTAACGCTTGTGATATGAGACTTCATACTGACCAGCAGATTTCAGTGGCGAAGAAGTAGACCAGAAAGTCCATGACCTGTCTGTCGGGCATGCGCTCAATCACACCAAGAAGCTCGCTGGCAGCTTCTGGGCCGAGGGGGGGCAAGTTGCTAGCATGGGAGTCGTCGTAGCAGGCTACCCCCAGCTGGAGCAAAAGTCAGTGTGCTGCTTTTTGCCTTCTTGTTCTTGCTGAAAGTGCTTGTTCACCTTTTGTATGAGGGCGAGAGTGTTGCTGTTACTGTCATGGAAGTAGCCAAACGACTCGCACCACTTGTCCCGCAGCGGATGAGTTACGGCAGGAGGTGGAGGAGGATGAGCCTGCTCCGCTCCGTCCCTATCCCTGCGCGTCTCGACGATATGGGGAGGCGGGGGGCTGGACGTTGTACTATTGCTCGAGATGATGGGGTTGTAGATGCAGCCGTCGATGCGTTGCCGGCGTGTGCAATGGTTACAAGGGTACTCGCGGTTGCACTGTTCACAGCGAAGACAGATCGTCTTGGTTCAGCACAGGACGGATTCCGCGAGGATGGAGATAGGAGATTCAGGTCTCAGGTGGCTCTCCGGGCTGTTCCCTGCATCTGCTGACGGGCTCACCTTTTGTTTTCTAGTATAGCATGGTATGCAGGACGAGATGACACGTTTTCGAGTAGAGCTCATGTTTCATAACAAGGCAGGAAATGAATGAATGCGTGGTTATTCCACACGGCAAAAGAGTACTGGAGATGAAAACCAACCTAGGACCTCTCCCCCAACTATATAAGCGGTCCAGGCTGGGTATTTGTAGCCTCACAGCCGCATGATGACCTTCTTGCTTGCTTTGGCTACCTATCAAGCAATTCAGACAGCAAATTGTTGAAGAGGAGGGTAGTGATTCGCAAATCTGATTGGTCACTATTATTGATGACTTTCGTTGTTGTCCGTCTTTCTCCCAATGCGTTATTCGCCATCTGCGTCGCGATCCTTTGTGGGCATATCACCGCGAAGCCTGGCCTCTGATTGCTACCATGGAGCTTTCGGCACTTTCGTGGTGATTTCACCACGTTTGACACACCCCCTCAGCACGGACTGACTTCTTGTTGGAAAGGGAGATTTGCGTCAGCAGGAGTGTAGGGACGGCTGCAGCCTGGGGATGAATGGGGGAGGGGGGCCAGTCGAAGGGTCTGGGTACCTCTCGTCTCCCTTTCAGGCAGCTGATATTTGAAGTATGCGTGAGGCGCAGAAGTGACACCTCAAATCATCATGTTTGACAGACACGTACGATATACCTGCCTCGGACTTGGCCAACTCTGCGGATATATAAACGCGGGGGAAGGGGTGGGGGTGCGGCTCAGCCTGCAATATGCTTGCTTATAAATCGCAAGGAGGCAGGTTAATTAGCCCAGGAATGTCAGTCAGCTACGTTTGGATGGCCGATCAAAAGCTACAAGCCGGCGGTTTAGGCATGGGGACTTTGGGGCTGCACTGCTGCGAAGTGATTCCTCGGGCTCATAGTGTGTCGACGCGGCACGCTCCTGTACAGAGGAAGAGGACACTATCGATCGATCTCCGTCGGCCCTGTCAGTTCTGGAACGGCCCGCAAGGAAAGAAAGAGGGTTGTGGCAAGAGATACAGCGTAAGGCTCGGGCAGAGTATAAACATGTCTCGGAGCAGGTCACCCATCTACGCGCTACGTACTATACTTACCATTTGTGCATCTGTGCAACGTAGTTGATTACATGCAGATACCGCAAACCTGCATTCAATCCGCCTCATTCTGCAGCCAGCAGGGAGTGTAGGTGGATTGCGGTGAGTCCTCCGATTGGACCCGAAACGCGGGTGAGATTCTGTTCTGGTGCCAACATCCACGCTTCAGCGCCACCCCAGCCGTACCAAGGTTGCATTCGCATCCCGTATTTCTCGGAAAGCGGACCGAGGTACCTTTACGAGCAGTCCCTCTGGGGGGTGGCTCAGGTAAGGCGGGGAAAGCACTTCTAGTATTGTACCTAATACTCGGCATGATTTGGTTGTGGCTGTTTCTACAAGTAGAAAACATAATACCTCACATCATCGTAACTCGCCCACCTCTATATCAACCAAGCCTATTGCCATCAAGATATTTCAAAGACAACTCCCCCCATTGACTTTCAAATGTTGCTCTGCTATAACCATCTTACTCTAACCATGTTATCATCGAATCGCCCACTTTTGTTTTGAACGCATCCTGTAGTATGACCCGAGCCAAAGGCTGTCCTCTGGTCTGTTGCTGCCCATGACTGTCAATTTTCTTGCACATCAAACCCCTCTAGATACCAACAACGTACCCGAGGTGCCGAGTTGCCGCGTTGCTCAGCCATGCACAATCCCAATGTGACATTGTGCTTACAGCCGCAAGACACCCAACTCCACCCCCGGGTCTCTCCCTTCCTCGCCTAGCATAGTGTAGCATTCGTCAACGCGATGGTGGCGTGAGACCCTGTGCCGTAAGATCTGACCAATGTGCGCGCATGTCTCGTTCAGTAGCGAGGGCCACAACCCCCCACCGCACCCATGCATCCATCCATGGACCATCTCTATCCCTTCTCACCGGCCCCTCCTATCCTCTTCCACCTGAACCCCCAAGACACGAGAAAGGTGCACGCCGCCGCCGCCGCGCTGATGCAGAACGTGTTGCGCAGGCCGAGTGCGTAAGCACGCAGGACGGCCCCTACCGCGTCCTCGCGGCCCATGTCTGCGAGCACCTGGCGGATCTGCGAGGCGCCGCTGTCGATGAGGACGCGGGCGTCAACCCCTGGCGCCCCGCGGGCGACGTTGTCGATGATGCCGTTCTGGAACGCCGTCTGCGCCACCGCGACGAAGACTGCACCGCCGAGCGACTGGAAGAACTGCACGCACGCCGTCGCCTGCGGGATCAGTTGCTGCGGCAGCACGTTCTGCACCACGATGATGCCCGCCTGGAAGCACACCCCCGTCCCCAGGCCCGCCACCACCTGGTAGCCAAACCACTTGCTGAGCGGCGTGTCGACCCAGAACGTCGCGATCAGGGCCATGCCCGCCGTGAGCACTGCCGTCGACACCAGGATCACTGGGTTGTAGGACCCGAACGCCGTGATCAGCGCCCCGCTGGCGATCGACGCGATCACCACCGATATGAGGTACGGGAGGAGCTTGAGACCCGCCTGTACCGCCGAATCGCCCTGGACGACCTGGAAGTATAACGCTGGCAATGCAACGAAGCGTTGTTAGTCATGTTGCTCTTAGATATATATATATATGTATATATATCATCATGCTATGCCGATACTTTACTCACCCAGGTAGTAGACAAGAGGGAAGAAGAATGCCCCGACAAACAGCGCGAACAGCATGGCCGAGAGCACGTCGCGGTTCTTGAAAAACCGCGGAGGCAAGATGCCCTTGTCCTGCTGCCGGATCTCGATGCCAACGAAAACGGCCGCCGTCGCCCCAGCCCCGACGAAGAGGCCGATGATCCTCGAGTCGTCCCACGCGTAGTCGGCACCCCCCCACTGGAGGGCGAGGAGCAGCATGACGATGGCCGGGAAAAAGGCGGCCGTGCCGGCGAGGTCGAGCCGGAGGATCCTGCCGACAAACGACCCGTCCCTGGGCGCGTCCTCATCCCCGTCCGCGGCAGGCCGCGTGATGCGCAGAAAGAAGAATATCACCACCATGGCCACCCCACCAATTGGCAGGTTGATGTAGAAGCACCAGCGCCACGTCACCTTGTCGGTGAACGCGCCCCCCAGCAAGGGGCCGACGACGGAGGATATCCCCCACAGGCCCCCGAAGACGCCAAACATCGCCGGCCGGTGCCTGAGCGGCATCGTGAAGGCCAGGATGACCAGTGAGCCGGAGAAGATGCCGGCGGTGCCCAAGCCCGCGACGGCGCGCCCGACGATGAAGGCCGCCGACGTCGGCGCCACCGCCGTGATCAGGCTCCCCAGTTCGAAGAGGGCCACGGCGCCTGGGGGCGGGAGAGGGAAGAAGGTCAGCAGAGCGCGCGTCTGAGCCGTCCGATTGGCTCACCTAGAAACGTCATCTTGATATCGAAGAGGTGGTAGATGCTGCCGTATAGCGGCTGCAGCACCGTCTGGGTCATGAGGTACGAAGACCCGTACCAGCCAATGTCCCTAATGGAGGCAAACTCGGACGTGATAGCCCCCAGGGCCGGGGCGATGATGGTCTGGTCCAGCGCGACGAGGAAGACGGAGAGGCACAGGGAGGCGAGGACGAGCCACAGCTGCGCCCCCGTGAGGTACCTGGACTCGTCTTCATCATCTCGTGTCGTCGACCCGTCTGGGGCGGTTCCTTTTTCCTCCGCATCGTTCATCTTGTCGTGCTTGTTCTCCACCACCGCCTTTTCGTCTTTGTCGGGAGGCCGGTCTTGCTTGGGAGACTGAGTGGATGCCATTGTCTGTCGTCGAGGTGGACGGGTCAAGGAAGTTTCCAGATCAAACGTGTTTGCTTTTGGTCCCAGTCTACGGAATGATCTGTAGAAAGGTTGGGCTTCGTAACCGTTGCGCCCCTCGACATGTGCGCTGCATTTCAACGGGTGGGGGCCTTTGCCCGACAAATGTGATGACTACAAGCCTGGCCGATGTGATGAAGGCGCAGATGTTGATTTGTAATGCGCAACTCATGGGAGACATCCCAGATGTCTGACTGCGAAAGACGGGCATGTTGGGCGTTTGTGAGTAGCATTCAGCCGAAACAAGCATGTTCCTTTGTTTCGTACAGCCACCTATCAGGGGCTCGAGAAAAACATTAAGCCAAATCACGTTGGCAGGGATAAATATCTGACCATTCGGCCGTCACGGCTTTGGTCGCTTCGATTGACCGATGCCGATGCTGGATGAGATGGGCTCGGCCGACGCAGTGTAACATACGAGACCCCCCTTCATGTGCTTACTGTCTTGCCATGTCTGTCTGCAACCTCGGACGGTGATTGCTCGGCCTGAATGAGACTGACAACTGACTAATAGCAAAGTACTGTGTATGTTATTCAAAGCCAACCATACACTATAGCCATTTAACATCATAAACAAAAATGAACTTTGGATTATTTTGAAGAACGCTTTTCATAGGCAATAACTGCGTAGGATCTAGGAGTGCGCCATAGCTGGGCCAAGCAGGCTGACCGTATACCGCAGCAAGGATACAATCGAGTATAAATTGACGCGTGGCATGTCTGATGTTGCGTAAAGAGAGTAGCTGTCTTTCTCTCACACCCTCTCGTCGTTTTTGCTGAAAAATATGAAGTCCTTTGTATCGCGACTTGTGGCGGGTTCCCTGTCACAGGGTCAAAGACCTCGAGCAAGGCGGCTTTGGGCGGACGAGCGCCTGTATACCTCTCACACCGGTCAAAACAAGAAGATCCGACGACTTGGATGCGTGTGAGTTTGGAGCCTCGTGGGAAGCCACACACCGTTGTGAGGGGGCGGCGGCGGTAGGCGAAAGGGGGCGTCCGGAGACTGACGATTGTTTGCAGCGAGTCATACCAAATAGCTCTCCAGACATTGGGCTACATGCGAGGCAACATTGTGGCCTGCAGATACAGGTTCCCGACTAGGCTTTTCACCCGCGAGTCTCATCGCGACCTCGTCGAGACGTTCGAACGAGCAGTCGCCCGCGTCGTGCTCAGGCACCCGCACTTACACGTCGGCATCGCGGGCGGGAGCACCGCCAGGCCCTACTGGGTCCGACTGGACAACGTCAAGCTTGACAAGCACATCGACTGGCAGCTGGTGGAGGGAGAGGCCGATGAGCATCTCCGCGAGGCCTTTGTGCGTGCCGCGTACGAGCAGCTGGACACCAAGTTCTCGGACCACGAAACGACGCCGGGATGGAGACTCGTGGTGCTCCGTCAGGCGGGCGCCAATACCATCGAGGTGCTCCTTGTCTTCGACCATACCATCCTGGACGGCGGCAGCGCAAAAACATTCCATAAGGAGCTGCTCCAGAGCCTGCAGGACGACGCCCGGCCGACCGATGACCAGGACACCGGGCTCAAAGACCACGTCTTGATCCTGCCGGGGGACTCAACGGCGACGCTCAGCCCGCCCCCAGAAGACGTCGTCCGGTTTCCGGTCACGGCCGACCCGGCGGCGGCGGATGAAACCGCTGTTGGTCACGCGAGGAACCCAGCGGACGCACACTGGGCCCCGATAGCGACGGCGCCGTTCAAGTCGCAGTTCCGCACCATCGCCGTCCCCCTGACGCTGCTCTCACAACTTGTGCAGGCCTGCCGCCAGCACCAGGCCACGCTCACGGGCCTCTTACACGCGCTCGCCCTGGTCTCGCTGGCGCCCCTCCTAGGGCCGGCCGACTCATCGGCCTTCACGTCCATGACGGCCATGGACCTGCGGCGCTTCCTCCCGCCCCACCAGTCCGAGCGCCCATGGTTCAAGCCGGATGAAGCCATGTCCAACTACGTGACTATCCTGAACCACGTCTTCGATGAGGACCTGGTCGCCAAGGCCCGGTCCCGGGGGACGTCCTCCTCGTCTGCCGGTCTCGAGTCCGCGGGGATAACAGACCTCGTGTGGTCGGCGGCGGGGAGGGTGCGTCGGGACATCGCGGCCAAGCTGGAACAGGGCACCACCAACGACATGATCGGGTTCGCGCTGGCCGTGGACGACTGGCGGGCTTACCTGATCGAATCGACCCGGCGGCCGAGGCCTGCTTCGTGGGTAATCACCAACCTCGGGGTTGTCGACAGCAGGCCCGTCATGCCGTCAGGCTCTAACACGGGACCGGAGGCGTCCTGGTCCATCACGCAGAGCGAGTGCGTGATGTGTGCCAACGTGGTCTCTGCCGCGTTCGGCATATCAATGACGGCGGTCAAAGGGGGGGACCTGATCATCAACGTCACCTGGCAGGACTGCGTCGTGGGCGCTGAGCTCGGCGAGGCCTTCGTGGCAAACCTGGAGAGGTGGCTGACGTCCGGTGAAGTGTTGGCTCTCAGACGTCTGGGAGCGGAGTGTGAGCATCGGCTTTGACGCGCTGGGGAGGTTCATCCTGGGCATCCCGTGACATGGTGGACGAGATCTACGCCCATATTTCTCTGATTCCAAAAAGGCTGCTCGTGACCCAGTTCTCTAAGGAGGTGGTCGCCTGGCAGGCTAGGGACGAAGCTATGCATAACTGGGTTTGAGTTACTGACGTGCATCGTCAACAATGGGTTTGGGCGATTTGCGTTTCGTTTTAGGAGGCTTGGCGAATTGCACTTCCGCATCATTTCTTTCTTTCTTTCCTTAGAGCGCCAACCATTACACTTAGTGGTTATTGAATGTTTTCTCATTCGTGACGAGATATGCCACGGTTTAGGGTAAATTGTTCTGTTGACATGGTTGACGATTGATGGTGGCATCGGTAATGGGCTAGAGGCCGACACCTGTCACTTGATAACAGGGAAACGAACCTACTCCGGGGCGCCCTTGGAAGCCGGGCAACGCAAGCAGTATGCGCTTCTACTTTCAGTGCATGTGTACTTGTCATCATGTCAGAGCTGACATTATCTGCTGTAAGCGGTGCCGGCCACGAAGCAATATTGAGCGCAGAATGGCATCTAAGTCTGCGATGCCGGTGTGTCGACCGCCTGTTGAGTTTAGCAAACAATAGCCTAGAAGACCGTTTGGTATAAAGTGACCTCAAGGGGGCACAGTGTCATTATAAGAGGCAGCAGGGGGCTTTCTCGCAAATGAGCCAAGAAGGGTTACCGATAAATGTAAGGGAGGTAAGATGCGATAAACGGGGACGGCTAAGATGGAAAATTGGAAGGAGAAGATACACGGCGATGTCAGATGGCCCTTGTGAGGCTGGGATGGCATACCTGGTAGCCAGCATGTGCGGAGGAAACCAGTGTGAGCAGACACAGGAATGCAAGTGCCTGGAGCAACCGACGTGGCTGGTGATGACCAGGCGATGAATGGGTAGTAATGCGTGGCACAAAACAAAGACTGGCCTGATGAGACGAAAGAGAAAAAGACGTTAGGGTGGAAGACGAGAACGGGCTAAAGGAATGGGCAGTAGGGTAAGAACTACTTGAAGGGTTCCCATGTGTGGTGATAAGCTGTATGGTTCACCAGGCTAGTAGGTTACTGGACAAGAAATGTTGTTGTAGACACCAAAATAATCAGCTTCAGGCTTTTTCCCCCATCGTCTACCTCTCATCTGGATCTCTTGTTTGACCTGGGGTTTCCGCAACTAGTTCAATTATCTTGACGTAGTTGGAGCAACACAATATGAATACCAGGGATTAACTTGTAGGTCACTGTTGAACACGGATCTGCTGCCACTTTCAAAACCATGTGTAACATTTGCGTCGAAATGAAACTGTGTCAATTGACGACTTGGCGTCGAATATGTGCGTATATATACAATTATATATGCCATGTGTGTAAGAAGAAATAAGTACAAAATGAAATATGTCCACAGAATGTCCTATGCAGGTGAAAGAAACCCCCACTCCCCTCTCGACTGGCACAATTAAATACCTGTCCTCCATTTATCAAAGCCGCTTAGAAGCTAAGAGTCTGGCCAGCAGTACCAACAACCTTGCTCTTGACGTTGGCCTTACCGTACAGGGTGAAGCTGTAAGGAATCTTGCTGGAGCCGAGGTCGCCCTTGGGCGCAGTGTTCTCACCACCGCCGTAGGACATGTCGGAAACAGTAGCGTATCCAGTCTCCTTCGAGTCGGCAGACAGGATGACCTTCTTGCTGGAGTTCTCGAAAACGGACGACTCGACACGAACCTGGGCGCCCATGCGGGTGTTGACACCGGTGCTGCCGACCTTGTTGTAGAAGTTGTTGTAGATGTGAACGGTGCCGAAGCGGACGGACGGGTTGCGCGAGTTGACGTTGTTCCAGTAGTTGTTGGCGTAGGTGACGTGGAGCTTGCCCTTATCGCTGGTGTTGGTGTCGACGTGGCCGATCAGGGAGGTCTTGTAGTGGTCGTGAATGTAGGAGTTGGAGATGGTGATCCAGTCGGAGCCCTTGGTGATATCGAGGAGGCCGTCGTAGTAGTCCTTGCCGTTGCTCATATCGGACGAGACATCGACGTGGTCGACCCAGACGTTGGTGGAGGACTCGATGCCAATGGCATCGCCGTAGGCCTCCTTGACCTTGGCAATAGCCAGGTTGCGAACGATCACGTTGGAGACGCCCTTGATGTAGAGGCCGGCGCCGGTGATCTTCGAGCCCTTCTGGCCAACGATGGTCTTGTCGGAGGCGACGCGAACCTTGGCGTTGCCGGAGATGGAGCCCTTGACGACGATGTTGAGCTTGCCGCTCGACTCGGCGGCCTTGGTGAACTGGGCCAAGGTTGACACGGTGGTGGTGGAGCCGCCCTTGCCGCCGGTGGTTCCGCCGTTGGTGCTGGCGTAGCCGATGTTGCAAGACTCGGTGATGGAGGCGCGCTTCACGATGGCGGCGGTGGACTCCTCGTCGACGGTGGGAGTAGGGGCGGCAGAGGCAACACCCAGTAGGGCGAGGTTGAGGACGTTGGTGAACTTCATTTTGAAAGGATCAAGGCAACTCGATTGGATGAATGATGGAAGATTTGCAAGTGTTTGGTAGAACCCAGTTCTCAAGAAGAAGTGAAAATGTCGAAAGAGTGATGCGAAAAAAGAGTGACGCTGGTTGAGGATGAAGCTCAAAAAAGATTTGACTCGGAAAGGATTGACACTGGTTTATATGTATCGTGAAGCAATACGGCGAGATGCTGCTCGCGGGGCGTGCTCTCCCAATCTCCACCCATCTTGAGTCCCGGCCAAGATGGTTAAGTCGGCAGCGAGGCGTTGGCATCGCGTTGGCATCATTTCCAGACCTGCATGCCGCTTGCCCCGTTAAAGAAACAATGACGAGACCCACCGGTCTACCCAAATCGCTGGTTCATGCGCGCTTAGGATGTTGTCGACATTCACGCTAAACTCTGATTCTTTCTCCGCATTGTCTTAAGTGACAGGACAATTGCCGGCAGTTCAATGCAAGTTTTCACGATCGTAATAACGTGAGTTGAAGAGCGATGAGCTCTCCAAAGATCTATCGCGGTCGTCAAATGGTCAACAGGCTGTCGTTCTCGGCAGAGCCTCATGCCACGGCGCCAGGTGGAAACCAAATGAGCCCAAGACTTTTAACACCTCTTGGGTACTATATATCCCCGGCGGGCTCACGGAGCCATTCCGTGGATGACCCTCATGAGGCTCGATCGGGTCGGTAACTCGCCCAAGCCTGACAGGGCTGATGCCCACGAGACTCTGTGATGGAAGTCTGCCCACGTCCCCTATTCGTGGGCATGGTATTTCACCGCAGAGGAGAATCACCCTTAAATTTACGGTCAATGTCTGGGCCAGAAGCCAAGCGTAGCTAAACCGAAGTAGGGTCTTGGTATTGGCGGACGTCGTACGAACAGGTAGGATCGTTTCAATGCCGGGGTGGGAGACCGGAGTCTCAGCCGCGATCCGCCCGTCATGTTGGATTTTGTAAATCCGCAAATCATCAACAAGCTTGGATGCCGTCAGATCAACCTGCAGCATGCAAGGAGGGTGAGGTCACTGCTTGGGCAGCTTCTCAAACCACAAACATTCATGTTTTACTTCAACCAAGAGGGAGACGATGACTGCTTACAGGTGAGATGGCATGCGAAATACGTACGCAAGCGTCTCCACCAGGGTACAAGGGCCGGCCTCACTACCGATCACGGTGCAGCCTCCGAGCCCCTCTCGTGAGGTTTATTCCCGAAATATGGCATTCTGGTGCTGTCGCACTCCTGAGAGACCCATCTGATCCATGGGCCAAGCAACCTTATATTAACGCCAAGGCCAAGAGGGATCTTCGGCATCGTGGTCTTGGATCGCCAGGGCGTCTTGGCATGGCGGAGCGGAGCGGACCGATCTATCGTCCACGATTCAAGATCGCAACAGACTTATCAAATCATGTTAAGGTATATCGCAAGCCATGTATGGCTTTTGGCAGACTGCTTTGTATTATTATTCAAGGCAAGCATGAATTTCGAGCTGGGTTGAAATGACTGTCTACTTTTAAAATCTAACCTGTATGTTCCTTGATTGTATCCAACGATGAATGCACCAAATCTGCAAATGAGACACTTATGTAAAGGTGTTGGAATCCGTTCAAACAAGACATGCCGTAGTCCTGAGCTTATTTGCTGAACTCTTTGGATAAGAAAGCAACGGATTCTCGATTGCGATTTGTACCTGAAGAAATGTGGGGGTATTTATTTGCTGCCAACGACTCGAGGACCAAGACCGAGCATAGTCAATTCATGTTAGTAAGTCCACACATCTTCTTTCACTCTTTCCATTCCCAAAGTTGTCGGTTCATGCTCGAGAGGCGCTCACCTTCAAGAGTGGGCAGCAAAAGTGGGAGTCTCTGAAGTGGGCGCCGTAAGTGGGGGACTCAGCTCATGTGACGACATTCGCCTGCCTGAACCTGCTGGACTCCCTCACTATCACTCATAATCAAGTCAATTGCAAACGATCAACACGACTGTGAAAAGTACCCTTTCCAAAGAGAGTCAAACGCCAAATGCTTGAAGCCCGGTTTGTAGTGACCTGGAATGACGCGATTGCGAGGCTGACTAATATCATTGAAGCTTACGGAATCACAGAAGTCAGTGAAGCTTCCACCAGTGACTGAGGACACGACTCCGCACGAGGGGTCGCGATACAAGAATCCCGCTTGGCCCTTGGCGAAAGCTAGGAGCTGTTCCCTGCAGAAACTTTACCAGCAACCCATATATTCGAACAAACAAAGATGGATCTCATGATATGCGGCACCTGCGGCGTCCAATTCGACAGCCACGCCGTGAAGTCATGCAAGATCTGCGACGACCCGCGCCAATACGTCGCTGAAGACGGGTGAGACTCTTGATGCTACGAGTCAGTCTTCTATTCCAAGCTGACAATGCACAAAAGCCAATGGTTCACCACCCTCCGCGAGCTCCAAGACTCCAAAAAGTACACAAACACCTTCACCAAGGACAAATTCAACTCCGCCGTCGTCGCGATCCGCACTGAGCCCCAGCTCGCCATCGGCCAGCGCGCCTTCCTGCTCCGCTCGCCCGGCGGCAACATCCTCTGGGACTGCATCACGTACATCGACGCCGACACGGTGCGGCGCGTCAAGGCGCTCGGCGGCCTCGACGCCATCGTCATCTCGCACCCGCACTACTTCTCGACCGCGCTGCACTGGGCCGAGGCCTTCGGGTGCAAGGTGTACGTGTCGGCCGAGGACGGCGAGTGGCTGACGCGCCGCGGCAAGGCGCACGAGCTGTGGGAGGCGAAGACGATGGAGTTTGTCGGCGGGGAGTTTCTGGTCGTCAAGGTGGGCGGGCATTTTCCCGGCAGCTCGGTGTTGTTGTGGAAGAGCGAGAAGAAGCTGTTTGTGGCGGACTCGGTGATGGTGGTGCCCAGTGGTGTGTATCATGTTGATCGGCCGAAGGGGACGGCGAGCTTTGCGTTTATGTGGTCTTATCCGAATATGGTGAGTGAAACTCAAGGGATACGATTTGCAGATCAGTGGCTAATGGGGGTTGTATGCAGATTCCACTCTCGCCTGATGATGTGTATGGCGTATGGAAGGCGGTTTCTGCGCTGGATTTTGAGGATGCGCATAGTGCGTTTCCCGGCCGCGATGCGAGGGGTGGCGCGAAGAAGCGGCTGCTGGAGAGTGCGCAGTTGTGTGTGAAATTCATGGGATACGCAAATCACGCCATTCACTCTGAGAAAATCTGAGAAAGACGGTAGTAGAACTGGTGCCGTGTTGATGAATCTATCATTCATGGCCATCTAGCAACCTTGTGCGGCAACACAGACTTATTCAGTTGTTGGCGCAGAAGCAGTAGTCATCTATGAGAACACAAGACAAAATGAGCATGCAAAGTTTCATTCAATTTCATGACTTGGGGTATTCCTCGGATATCTTGACCTCATTATTCCATCCACCCAGCAGCGCCTCTAAAATCCACCAGTGCCTTCCAATCTCTTAATCGCCCCAACCAAGCCCTTCGCCCAGCTGAACCGCCCAGGATCAACTCCCGTCGCGCCATCCGCCTCCTTCCCGTTCTCATCCCTCCAAACGCCATCTTCCCTGTTCAGCGCTCCATATCGGTGCGTGTTTTGGTTCCGCCTCAGACCGTCAATCCACACCTTGCACACGTCGCGGCTCTCAAGCATGATGTTGACCTCTTGGCTGTGGAACCAACTCTGAGTGTCCTGGTTGCCAGATCCAACGATGGCGATAGACTCATCCACGATCATGAGTTTGACGTGGCATGAGCGCTTCTTCTTCTCTGCGATGATGGGCTGCGTCTGGTCTTTGCCGATATACCAGAAGTAGTGGAGGTGCTCTCGCCCTTGAGGTGAGAGCTTCTCGTACATGTGGGCGGCGACCATCTCGTTGTGACCTCCTTGCATCGGCAGTAACTCGCCCTGAATTTGTGTCAGCAGTGATCATAGAGTCCAACATACGTCTTCGCAACTTACAGCATCGTTATAGCCAAGACAAACATACGCAAATACATCAACCCCGCGCTCGCACGCCTCAATCATAGCCGGCACCAGCGGCTCCGCATTCAACGTCGGTGTCTGGATAAACACATTCTTCTCCGCATTGCGCAGCGCCGACAACCACGCCGCGTTCTGCGGGTTGCCCACCGACTTGTGGTTCGGCGGCCCGTACGGCGGCCTGTTGACGAGCGCGATCGGGAACGGCTCGTGCGTCGGGTGCGGGATGTACGGCGTCATCTCGTCGGCCGGGTCGCACTCGGGAGCAGTGGCCTTGAAGTCCTTGTTGATGGTGTGGTTGAGATGGCGGCTGACGGCCTGCATTTGCGACTCGTTGGGTTTCGCTGAGACGGCTGCTTGCACGCGGGCGACCTCGCCGGCGATGTCGGCGTCGTAGTGCGGGTCTTCGTGGGTGTGTTCGGGTAGAGAGCCGTTTGCGATTGCTTCTGGAGTAGGGGCGGTTTGTGAGACTGAGTGCCCATTCTGAGTGTCTTGAATCCGGGGGTTCGTGGTCGATCCGCTGGGACCGTTGGCCTCGCTAGGTGTGAGGATCTGGTCGGCGCCGGGGCCGTATGCAGCAGCACGCTGGGGAATCCGGGCCGGGTCAAGCACAACTCTGTGCCCCTTCAACGTTCCTTCGGGGGTGAAGATGGAGTCATGGCTGAGTCCAAAGCTGCCCAGCTCCCCGAGCGCAGCCGGTGTATCTCTAGTCGGCAGAGGCGGATCAAGCTTCTTGTGCCAAGTAAGCAGCGCCATGTCATACAGACTATCAACAATCGGCCCCTCCACATGAACCATCATCTCCAGGTTATCGTTATCCTGGATATTGTTGCTCTGCACCACGCCAATCTTGCGGTCCACGACCATGAACTTGGAGTGGAACGTGCCGAGCATGGGGTCGTGGTAGTTCATCACCTCCAAGTCGATGTTCGGAATCTCCGCCTTCGACGGCAGCCCGACGGCCTTGCCCGTGTACTCCTTCTCGGGGACGATGTAGTGCGGCTCGAACAGCTGCTTCGGGCTGCCGCGGTCGTAGAGCACCTTCATCGTGAGCCGGGTGCCGCGCTCGCCGGCGCGGCGGGAGGCTTCCTTCATGGCGTTGGTGATGTACTTTGACGCGGCGCCGTTTTGCCAGAAATTGGTTGCGAGGATGACTTCTTTGTCTGCTCGCACGATGAGGTTGGACATGTGCCTTACGATGTCGGGGATGCTGGTGGTTGGTGAGCTCATGATTTTAGTCAATTGGGTCAGGGGGACTTACACGGAGAGGATGGTAAGTGGGGCGACGCCGCTGCTGCCGAGCAAGGGTGGACTCGCCATCCCATGAGCGGGGTTGTCGTTGAGTGTGCATAGAGCATCGTGATACAACTTTTCATTGTTAGCGACGAACATTTTGAGATGACGATTGTTTTAAATACTTACCCTCAAAAATAACCTGCTTGGCCTCGTCGTTCCCCATTTCCCACACTTGAACGCCACCTCGAGCTCATCGTCGCTCACCTCTCCTTGCCCAATATCTCTGATATCCTTTGGCTCATGTGAATTGCTCTTGTAATGGGTAGCCAGCTTCTTCCACGCATGGCCAGGCTGCAGCGTGGGATCCTCAGCAAGAAACCCAGAGACGGTGTTGCTCGACGCGCAGAAGCTGGCGAGCGGCTCGCTCAGCGTGTGCGCATTCTGATACTCGGACTTCGTCCGTGCGTGAGGCATCGTAGATGGATCAGAGGAAGAAGGAGAAGTTGCCTTTTGGTCGGGGACTCTTGGGACTGAATAGGCACTGTAGGGGAATTGAAACACGGTCTGGTAGAGGACGTTGCCAAGCTTTGGCAGGCCGGTCTGGCCCGGGGAAGACATGTTTGCAGTTATACCTCAAAAGAACAGCAGCTCTCAGTATGTCACCATCAGACGCCAGCAAGAGTCAGTTGAATGGGTGTGGAGAAGGATTGCTTCGCCCAGAGATGCGTCGTCGTCAGTGAAGGCGAGAAGATGGCCGTTCTAGGCGTTATGTACGTAGGTGCCGTGAGAGCCGTGCGGCCCACGGGTGATGATGTAAGACGAGTCAAGGTTTGACCAGACCACTGCCAACTAAAAATGTGGCCATCTGCGTCACTCCCCCCAACTTCCCCCAACTTCCCAACTTGCCCCAAGACCGAGCTCAAGCAGACGTGCCGCGCATCCGATACACTAGCTGGCGAGGCCGTGCCGGCAGCCCGTGGCAAGGCGTGTTCCGAAGGGGGCTTGTAGGCATCGGTGCAGCCACAATTTGCAACAAGTTGCAGCAGCGAGGAACGCGATTGCTCCGCGGGGGCTGGTGGTGATTGATGGCGCACGGCACTCGGCCCATGAAATGCGCACTCCAGCAGTGTTGCTGTGATGGTACTCTTTGGTCGCATCCGAAACCAGGACATGATCCCTGCGAGGGAGAATCCAGCCCGGCTGTCGCTGCCGGTCTTGCTCGTGGGAATGACGCACGACAACTCTAAAACAGAGACAAAGATGAAAGCTCGCCGTGGAGTTTAAATTAGCTAAACGCTTGCCCGAATTGATTTGCCGCGCAGTGCACTGTCGTCGGCCCGGTGCGATGGCCTGTGGCCCCGTTTTACAGCGCATTTCCGTCTTCGGCGTCTCCGAGCTGCTGGCCCCGTCAGAAGCCGCCAAGGTTCCACACCTCCGGCGCCGGCCAGGGCAGGCTCGGTCCAGATACAATCGGGATGGCAAGCCACAAGCTCGGGACACATCCTGGTCGCCGATGTTTTGCTCCGGGGATGCGGCGGGAAATTCGGGCGATTGCATGAAGCCGATGGCTCTGGACCTCAATCTCGTTACATTGCAAGAATCGGCTTCTCTCGAGGGCAAACTGCCCTCCTTCATCAGTCTTCAGAACAACGACGACTGGATACACAAGTAAGAACCTTAGTCTAACCACTGTCTCTAAAGCGGACAGTAATGCGGCCATTCCTTTCCAGCCTACTCAGTCACTCTTTTCTTCATCATCTGTGCCACGATACCGAGGCCGACGCACAACTCTTTCGATCAGCAAAGAGCAATTCGGCGCATTTCTCGCGAAAATGCATAGGTATAGTAGACTTTCAAAACATTGACAATTTGAACGCAAGTGTTCCAGCGAGAATGATCGTGTAATATTCCCGAGGTTTGAGGTCCTCGGAAAATTTACCGGATCTGGCCAGCTCGGCACCGTTGCCCACCCAGCTGTCAAAATCATGGGTACCATGGTAATGGATCTACCCGCTCGCGCTCCCGAAATCCAAACTGAGCCCTATGAGAGCAGCTATCAGATGTTCGTATAAGACGTTCGTATGACACGTATGACGGGCAACATATCCGCCGGGATAGGCTCCGCCGGAATGCTCCGCTATCATTCTCGCAAAGACTTCCGCCGCGAAGGTTACCTTTTGATCGCAGGTTGGCTTACTCAGGGTGTAAGTATCGTGACAGAGCTGTATTGGAAACTTCATAACTTCGGTGCAAAGACCCCCTCGACCTTTTCATCTTATATCCCCACGATCATTAACTTTCGAATAAACCTCATTGATTTGAAATAGTAAGTACAGCAGCCATCACCCAAGCCTGTTCACCCAACCTGGTTTTCAAATCCAACAACCACAGCATCTTACACCAACACCAGCACAACATGTCTCGCCTCGCCTCAAAAGTCTGCATAGTAACAGGCTCCTCCTCCGGCCTCGGCCGCGCCATAGCTCTAACCTACGCCGCCGAGGGCGCCCACCTCGTCTGCGCAGACCTGCAGCCCACAGCCCGCGCCGAGGTCGAGTCCGAAGGCCTCGCCAACACGGACGATCTCATCCGCCAAAACGGCGGCAGGGCCATCTTCGTCAAGACCGACATGACAAAACCAGACCACGTCCAGAATCTAGTCACAAAATGGGTCACGGAGTTTGGCAGACTCGACGTGTAAGTTCACCCCTCCCACCACTCAACCCACAGTCACCTCACCAACATCCCCAAAAGCCTCGTCAACAACGCCGGCATCTCCCTCGAAGCAGGCCGCCCGCCCCTGGGCATCCACGAAACCCTGCTCGAAACCTGGGACCTCACAATGTCCGTCAACGCCAGATCCGTCTTCCTCGGCTGCAAATGCGCCATCGCGCAAATGCTCACGCAGCCGCTGCTCCCCTCCGGCGACCGCGGCTGGATCGTGAACATCTCGTCCATCTTCGGCCTCGTCGGCAGGCGGCACAATACTTCGTACGCGGCGTCCAAGGGCGCCGTGTCGAATCTGACGAGGCAGATTGCGATGGACTATGCGGAGGCAAGGATCCATTGCAATGCAATTTGTCCGGGGTGTAAGTGCTCTCTGCTTTGTGCGATTCAAGTGAGGTGACTGACGAGCAGTAGATGTCAGGACTGCGATTTTCGTGAACACGGTCAAGACGCTTCATAGCCCGGAGGCGATTGCTGCGCAACACCCGTTCCATGGCGTGGGTACGCCGGAGGATATTGTTGGCGCGGCTGTGTTTCTGGCGAGTGACGATGCGAGATGGATTACGGGGATTTGTATGCCTGTCGACGGAGGCTACACCGCGCAGTAGACGAGGTTTTAAGGTATCTCACTCAATGACGGGTATGATACAGCATATCGATGAAGACTTTTGGCATTCGCCGTCTAAAAATATCGCACTCTGAACCCTCTATTCCTCCCGTGAGCGTCCCTGATTCTCAATCGCCCACAGCTCGCCAAACCGGCTCCCCGCCGTCTCCACAAGCTTCCTCGGGCTACCAGTCTCCACAACCCGCCCCTTATCCATTACAATAACCGCATCGAAAAAGTCCATCACCATATCCAGCCGGTGCGAGACCATGACGATCGTGTACCGCCCAAACTCCTCCTTGATGATCTCCTGCATCAGCCGGTCCGTCGCGTGGTCGACGCTCGAGCTGACCTCGTCCAGTAGCAAAATACCCCCGCTGCGCCGCTTGGAGCGCGCGTCCTTGACGCGGCGGCGCAGGATGGCGCGCCCGAGGCTGAAGAGCTGCTTCTGCCCCGCCGAGAGGCTGTCGGCGGTCATGCCCTCGTGCAGGCCGCCGCGCTCCTCGACGAAGGTGGACAGCTGGACGATGCGCAGGACGGAGAGGCATTCTGCGTCTGTGGAGGCGTCGAAGGGGTCGAGGTTGGATTTGATGGTTGTGCCGTCCGGGAGGAAGACGGCGTCTTGGGGGACGGCGATGATGCGTCGGCGAAGGGTGGCGCGGTCGATGCGGTGGAAGGGGGTGTTGTCCATTTCGATGTTTTGTGAACAACTTGGGAGGGGGTCGAGGAGTCTCAAGAGGAGGAGAATGAGGGAGGATTTGCCGCTAAGTTGTGTTAGTGGATGAGGAGTGAGATGAGGATAAATTGACTTGCCTTCCTGTGCGGCCGCAGAGCGCGACCTTTTGACCCGGTTGGATGGAGAAGGTGAGATCTTTGAGGGCTAGGCTTGGTGGGGTGCTAGCACCATCGAGAGACTTCTCTTGGTCATTGCTATGATTTCACGTCAGCTTGAATCGAGACAAGTATGCGGTTAGCGTACCTGTACGACGCTGAGACGCCTTTGAGCTCGATGCTGCCATTCTCCGGCCACTCCTCGGGCGGCTGGATGTCCTCTCCCTCGAGACTCTCAGGCTTGACCCTTTCAGAAAACGTCTTGATACGAGCGACGGCGCCAATGGAGGTTTCAAGCTGGGTGTAGAACCGAATAAGGTAGGCAATGGTCTCGCCCCACGACATGAGCGTGACCAGGGAAGCGCCAGTGAAGCCAGAGTTTGCCCTCAGTTGAGTAGCCAGGGCGACGAGAACGACGGCAATGCACGCGACCATGAGATGCATTGCCACAACAAGCCACTGTTGAATCATCGCGAGGAGGTACGCAGGACGTTGGGAGGTGTCGAGGAGGTACTGGTTGTGTGTAATATCCCTGCCTGTCCAACCAAAAGCACGGATCGTGGCAACACCCTTGATGGTGTCGAGAAAGTGAGTGCTAGACTTGGTCAGCATATGAGATAGTCAAAAGTGAGGGATGTACTGACTAAAGTGGGCTCTTGGACTCTAGATCCAGTAGACGAAGCTGCCGCGAGGTCCTCAGGTAGAACTTTTGAATGATCCAGCAAAGCCCGATGACGAATGGGTAGCTGATGGACATGTAGGGCGACGCGACCGCAATGACTGCCCCCATCGCTACTGCATCAAAGCCGGAAATGACGGCGTTGAGAAGGGCGTTTGGCAGCTCGTTGTCGATAAGGGTCATATCCTGTGAGAAGAGGTTGGTGACGACGCCAGAGTCCGTGTTGGTAAAGAAGCTGAGGGGGGCGTGGATGACAGTGTGCAGGGCCTGCTGATGGAGGATCGTGCCTGAGGAGGAGGTCATCCAGATAATTTGGGCCACACCGGCGACCAAGAGCGACAGAAGCTGCAGGACCTTAAAGAAGCCAAACAACCCAGCGTAGTAGGCGCTGCTCTTGTGAAGGGTGTCTTCCGTCCAGAACTTCATCCAGATCGTGGGGAAAGTGTTCCAGAGAGAGTAGAAGGCGCAGCCTACAACAAAAATGGTGACGGCGTAAAGATTGAGACTTCTAAAGTAGTGGACATAGACCTTAAAGTCTCCGGTCTGTCTCGACTTCTCCATCAACTCTGCAGCGACACCCAGCGGACGCTTGGGTTTCGAGGCCGCCCCTGCTTTTTCATGACCGGCGGGAATATCGCTGGAGACGGACTCCGTGTCCGAGTCCGTAGCGGTGACACCCAGGCTGGCGACGTACTTTTTGTCTTTCATCAGATCCGAGAATGTTCCCTCTTCGACCAGTGTGCCGTCTGCACCAAGAGCAATGATATGGTCGGC